TTCATAGGAAACAAATCATTAAACGCGTATTGTCTGCACAACCGTCTAAGAAACGACTTCAGTAGTGCTTGAAAGATACTTGAACCTGCAGGTGCAGCTTCAGATGCGATCAATTGGGAGCTCAAATTCATAACGGCACGTCTGCAAATCGTCCTTCAAGAATTAAAAAAATTGCAAAATCCATTTACCTGCGCCGGGTAATCCATTAGCGACTTATTTTAATGCAGAAGTTAACCGCACAGAATTGCTTAGTTGCCAATTTATTTAAAGTTTTACGGGATCCCGCAAATACCGGGATTGAGATTTTGCTGCGGAATTGCATTCCCTAGTCACATTCTATAAGAAAAATTATTTTCCGAATCGATCTGAGACAATTTTTTTTTCGGGCCAAAAAAAGAGGCAGTGTTATACCTTCCTTTTTTTTACCAAAAATCGACTGCAATTTTGACGGCGCCAATCGATAGCGCTGGTCGAGACCTTTCCAACGAGAGGTCGGAAGGCATATCTACGACACACCGTTCTCGAGATATTACGGTTTGTCAGAATTTTTGGTCGAAATTTCAAACCGTAATATCTCGAGAACGGTGCGTCGTAGATGTGCCTTCCGACCCCTCGTTGGAAAGGTCTCGACCAGCGCTAACGGTTGGCGCGGTCAGAATTTCGCCAAAAATTCAAAGGGCTGTAACTTTTGATCTAGTAGCCCGATCTTGGAACTGTTTGAAATTATGGATTCTACAGGGCGCATTCTATAAGAAAATATTTTTTTCCGGTCGATCTGAGACAATTTTTTTTTCGGGCCAAAAAAAGAGGCAGTGTTATACCTTCCTTTTTTTTACCAAAAATCGACTGCAATTTTGACGGAGCCAATCGATAGCGCTGGTCGAGACCTTTCCAACGAGGGGTCGGAAGGCATATATCTACGACGCACCGTTCTCGAGATATTACGGTTTGTCAGAATTTTTGGTCGAAATTTCAAACCGTAATATCTCGAGAACGGTGCGTCGTAGATTGCCTTCCGACCCCTCGTTGGAAAGGTCTCGACCAGCGCTATCGGTTGGCGCGGTCAGAATTTCGCCAAAAATTCAAAGGGCTGTTTTGAACTAGTACCCAATCGTGGAACTGTTTGAAATTATGGATTCTACAGGTCACATTCTATCAGAAAATTTTTTTTCCGGGTCGATCTGAGACAATTTTTTTGTCGGGGCTCAAAAAAAGGCAGTGTATAACCTTCCTTTTTTACCAAAAATCGAATACACCAAAATTTCTCGAGAAAACGCTTTTTCTTATTAATTTAGGTGCGTAGAATCCAAATCAATTCGTACTTTTTCGATCACACTTCTCAATCAAAAGTTATGGACTAGAAACCAATTTCGAAAAAAAATTCAAAGGGCTGTAACTTTTGAACTAGTAGCCCAATCTTGGAACTGTTTGAAAATATGGATTCTACAGGCCACATTCTATAAGAAAATTTTTTTTTTTCCGGTCGATCTGAGACAATTTTTTTTTCGGGCCAAAAAAAGAGGCAGTGTTATACCTTCCTTTTTTTACCAAAAATCGACTGCAATTTTGACGGAGCCAATCGATAGCGCTGGTCGAGACCTTTCCAACGAGGGGTCGGAAGGCATATATCTACGACGCACCGTTCTCGAGATATTACGGTTTGTCAGAATTTTTGGTCGAAATTTCAAACCGTAATATCTCGAGAACGGTGCGTCGTAGATTGCCTTCCGACCCCTCGTTGGAAAGGTCTCGACCAGCGCTATCGGTTGGCGCGGTCAGAATTTCGCCAAAAATTCAAAGGGCTGTAACTTTTGATCTAGTAGCCCGATCTTGGAACTGTTTGAAATTATGGATTCTACAGGGCACATTCTATAAGAAAATATTTTTTCCGGTCGATCTGAGACAATTTTTTTTTCGGGCCAAAAAAAGAGGCAGTGTTATACCTTCCTTTTTTTACCAAAAATCGACTGCAATTTTGACGGCGCCAATCGATAGCGCTGGTTGAGACCTTTCCAACGAGGGGTCGGAAGGCATATCTACGACGCACCGTTCTCGAGATATTACGGTTTGTCAGAATTTTTGGTCGAAATTTCAAACCGTTCAATGTGGAACGTGGCTTCTCTCGGGTTATTGCGGGGAACACACGCCGTTGGCAATTTTGGTCAAGGACAGGCCGGCGCCAAAGATTAACGGGTCACAGCGAATAAAAAATGATCGCCAAGTACTTGCGGCTATTTAATAATCGAGATGTACCAAATTTTGGAATGATGGACCGTCTAACTTTGGCACCCTGTATACTCTTTACTAGCAAACTGAAGAAAATTTCGAAAAAATCAACTCCCATTACATAGTTTTTAGGAACATTTGAAATCCCCTAAGATTCCTTACGAGTTCGTATCTATCTTTGGGATCTTTAAGAGCATCCTTTGAGAGTTTTTTACGAGCACAGAGGGCGTCTAGTCTCTAGAGCCCGTTAGAGCAACTAGCGAGTTTTTAAGGAGATCCTTCCGGTTCGAATTTAGAGGAATATTAAAGATGTCTGTGTTCATTTAAGGGTTTTCAAAGGCCCAAACAGTCTTCGACAGGCAGTCCATACAGTTTTTAATTGACCTTAGCATTTAAAATCCCTCAATGTGCTGATTCGTTTTTAAAGAGCTTTATGGATCTCTGCAAGCCATTAACTGCAGGAAATAGCTTCCGCGTGCCTCAAAGTCTCGCTTAGAGACTTTCCGAAACATGTAGAGTTCTTGAAACCCCACATTCTCTTCAAGAGTTAAGCATTTAAGAAAGGACGTCGTACGAGCCAATTCCGTTGGTTCCGTTTTGAGCTTTGTATAAATAGCGAAGGACAGAGACAATAATTATTCAAAATCTAAGCATTTTGATTCATAGGAAACAAATCATTAAACGCGTATTGTCTGCACAACCGTCTAAGATACGACTTCAGTAGTGCTTGAAAGATACTTGAACATGCAGGTGCAGCTTCAGATGCGATCAATTGGGAGCTCAAATTCAAAACGGCACGTATTGAGTCTGCAAATCGTCTTTCAAGAATTAAAAAAATTGCAAAATCCATTTACCTGCGCCGGGTAATCCAGTAATATTACTGACTTTGAGATCTTCGATTTTGCAACTTATTTCCAAATTCAATTCGTTGCAAGTCCCTTCCTTGGGCCATTTGATAGAAAAATCGCATGCGACATTCTCGAGACCAATTCTGCCGTAGCCGAGTCCATTGAGTGCCACACCAACCACGTGCCCCTGAGCTTCGAAATTCGCCGACATACCTAGCTCCGATAACATGACCTGGCCCTCAAGTACGCCATCTTTGGGCCGAACACTGGAAGCACGTTTAAGCGTAACATCTCACGCGTAGCGACTTACTCTGCCGTGGTGAATCGGTAGCTGTGCACTTGGTACAGGGTGAAACGTTTAAAAGCGACGTAAACATCGGAAATCGGAGATTCGAGGGTCAAGTTAAAATCGGGGGAGACGAACGAGTCTAACGGACGTAAACCGATTTCCGATATCCCACTTCTGACGTTCTCGTTTAGACTATTGGCAGCGCTTATGAAGCAGTCACTTATGTTCGGATCGTCCTGGTAACATCTTGGAAGGTACCTTGCTAGAATGATCCAATACAACATTATTGATTCAATAATTTACTTACGCAGTTCAGCTGGTTCGATTTGAATAAATAAGTTAGTGGTCAGTAAAATAGATAGGAAGTACATTTTGGAAATGCAGACTGAAGGACGTGAAAGCATTTATATATTTGTATGAAATGTGTGAGAAAAATGTTGATTATAATAATGAAGCCATTTTCTAATAATGTTTCTCATATAAAAAATTCTAAGAACAATATTTTCGATTCAAATAGGAAATATCAAAATATTTCCATTATATAACCATACATATAACATTGTTGTAAGATAAATTTCAAAACCATTTCACATGTCTACGTTTTGACACCTCAACTAAGACGCACAATTGTACCTACCGATCTACGTCTTTTTGTTTGCTCGCGGAGAAATGTATTTTTTTTAAACTCACGCGATATTAACAATGACCGAACATTTGGGTCCGGAGCAATTTTTCTTGCCTGACCTGAACTCGAGGACGCACAAAAACGGAATCTTGACGCATCGGTGGCCCAACGCCGAATGTCTTCCAAAATCTCCTCCTGATTACTCCCTACCTATCTTTACCGATCAATTAAGGCCCCTAAAAGGCTCTTTATTAATGAAATCGACCTCTTTTATTAATGTATTACTCTGATTCGGTTCTGGGCTACCCCCCCACCCCAGAAAACAGAAAAATCGATGAACATCACCGGAAAATTATGCTAAAATCGGCGGGGGTTCAAAACCAACCACCAAAGAAGGACTGGATAACCCTTTCCCCGTAACCTTCAGTACACTTATGGTAGCCTTCTGGAAATGGCACTAGAACTGATCCGTATACTGGAGGGTATTCCATACCCCCCAGAAATACCCTTCCACAGACCGTTTAGACTTCAGAACTGGCTGACAGTTGTTGGAGAAGCATTATGAGAACGTCATCTCCATACTGTAGAGAACGTAGCACCGGGGGGTCTGGGGGGTATGGAATACCCCCCAGCACGGAAAATTCGACGACCATCTCCGGAAAATTATGCTAAAATCGGCGGGGGTTCAAAACCAGCCACTAAAGAAGGACTGGATAACCCTTTCCCCGTAACCTTCAGTACACTTATGGTAGCCTTCTGGAAATGGCACTAGAACTGATTCGTATACTGGGGGGTATTCCATACCCCCCAGACCCCCCGGTAATACTCTTCCACAGACCGTTTAGACTTCAGAACTCGCTTGACAGTTGTTGGAGAACATAAATATCTAAATATAGTAGCATTTCACTTGATTACGTTAGAGAGAGTGAGGAAATAAATCGTTGAGATCGTATTTTGTGCACAACCGTGTAGAAAATGTAGCTAAAGGGGAAATGTAACAGGAATATCTCAAGACGGATGTCGCAGGAGGGCATAAATACTGAAATACAGGAGGATTTATTGATTGCGATATAAGAGAGCGTAAGCAAATCGTTTAAATAACATTTTCTGCACAATCGTGTAAAGAATGTGACAACAGGGGTAATGTAACAGTATTCTCGAGAAGGGTTTAAGAGGAGAGCAGAATTATTGAAATGCAGGAGCATTTCGCTTAACTATGTTAGCCAAAGAGCGGAAATAAGTCGCTGAAATCCTATTTTCTGCGAAACGGTGTAAAAATCTAGCAACAGGAGTTTCTTGAGAAATAGGTATCAGGAGATCAGAAATACTAAACACAGTAGCATTTCAGTTGATGACATTAGAGAGAGTGCGGAAATAACATCATAATTAGTGCACAATCGTGTAAAAAATGTAGCTAAAGAGGAAATGTAACGAAGGATGTCGCAGGAGGGCAGAAATACTGAAATACAGGATGATTTATTGATTGCGCTATAAGAGAGCGTAAGCAAATCTTTGAAATAACATTTTCTGCACAATAGTGTACAAAATGTAGCAAAGTGAGAATGTAGCACGAATTTCTCGAGAAAGGAGTAACAGGAGAGCATAAACACCTAAAAATAGTAGTATTTAACTTAGTTACGTTAGGTATGGAGCGTAAGTAAATGGTTTAAATAATATTTTCTGCACAATCGTGTAAAAAATGTAGAAAGAGGGGACATGTAACAGGAATTCCTCAAGAAAGATGTAACAGGAGAGCATGAATACTAAAATACAATTGCATTTCACATGATTACGTTAGGTACAGAGCGTAAGTAAATCGTGTAAATAATATTTTCTAAACAATCGTGTAAAGAATGTGACAACAGGGGTAATGTAACAGTATTCTCGAGAAGGGTTTAATAGGAGAGCAGAATTATTGAAATGCAGGAGCATTTCGCTTAACTATGTTAGCCAAAGAGCGGAAATAAGTCGCTGAAATCCTATTTTCTGCGAAACGGTGTAAAAATCTAACAACAGCATAACAGGAGTTTCTTGAGAAATAGGTAGCAGGAGATCAGAAATACTAAACACAGTAGCATTTCAGTTGATGACATTAGAGAGAGTGCGGAAATAACATCATAATTAGTGCACAATCGTGTAAAAAATGTAGCTAAAGAGGAAATGTAACAGGAGTTTCTCATGAAGGATGTCGCAGGAGGGCAGAAATACTGAAATACAGGAGGATTTATTGATTGCGATATAAGAGAGCGTAAGCAAATCTTTGAAATAACATTTTCTGCACAATAGTGTGCAATGAGAATGTAACACGAATTTCTCGAGAAAGGAGTAACAGGAGAGCATAAACACCTAAAAACAGTAGTATTTAACTTAATTACGTTAGGTATGGGGCGTAAGTAAATGGTTTAAATAATATTTTCTGCACAATCGTGTAAAAAATGAAGAAAGAGAAGACATGTAACAGGAATTCCTCAAGAAAGATGTAACAGGAGAGCATGAATACTAAAATACAATTGCATTTCACATGATTACGTTAGGTACAGAGCGTAAGTAAATCGTGTAAATAATATTTTCTAAACAATCGTGTAAAGAATGTGACAACAGGGGTAATGTAACAGTATTCTCGAGAAGGGTTTAACAGGAGAGCAGAATTATTGAAATGCAGGAGCATTTCGCTTAACTATGTTAGCCAAAGAGCGGAAATAAGTCGCTGAAATCCTATTTTCTGCGAAACGGTGTAAAAATCTAACAACAGGGAAACATAACAGGAGTTTCTTGAGAAATAGGTAGCAGGAGATCAGAAATACTAAACACAGTAGCATTTCAGTTGATGACATTAGAGAGAGTGCGGAAATAACATCATAATTAGTGCACAATCGTGTAAAAAATGTAGCTAAAGAGGAAATGTAACAGGAGTTTCTCATGAAGGATGTCGCAGGAGGGCAGAAATACTGAAATACAGGAGGATTTATTGATTGCGATATAAGAGAGCGTAAGCAAATCTTTGAAATAACATTTTCTGCACAATAGTGTGCAATGAGAATGTAACACGAATTTCTCGAGAAAGGAGTAACAGGAGAGCATAAACACCTAAAAACAGTAGTATTTAACTTAGTTACGTTAGGTATGGAGCGTAAGTAAATGGTTTAAATAATATTTTCTGCACAATCGTGTAAAAAATGTAGAAAGAGGGGACATGTAACAGGAATTCCTCAAGAAAGATGTAACAGGAGAGCATGAATACTAAAATACAATTGCATTTCACATGATTACGTTAGGTACAGAGCGTAAGTAAATCGTGTAAATAATATTTTCTGCACAATCGTGTAAAGAATGTGACAACAGGGGTAATGTAACAGTATTTCTCGACAAGGGTTTAACAGGAGAGCAGAATTATTGAAATGCAGGAGCATTTCGCTTAACTATGTTAGCCAAAGAGCGGAAATAAGTCGCTGAAATCCTATTTTCTGCGAAACGGTGTAAAAATCTAACAACAGGGGAAACATAACAGGAGTTTCTTGAGAAATAGGTAGCAGGAGATCAGAAATACTAAACACAGTAGCATTTCAGTTGATGACATTAGAGAGAGTGCGGAAATAACATCATAATTAGTGCACAATCGTGTAAAAAATGTAGCTAAAGAGGAAATGTAACAGGAGTTTCTCATGAAGGATGTCGCAGGAGGGCAGAAATACTGAAATACAGGATGATTTATTGATTGCGATATAAGAGAGCGTAAGCAAATCTTTGAAATAACATTTTCTGCACAATAGTGTACAAAATGTAGCAAAGTGAGAATGTAGCACGAATTTCTCGAGAAAGGAGTAACAGGAGAGCATAAACACCTAAAAATAGTAGTATTTAACTTAGTTACGTTAGGTATGGAGCGTAAGTAAATGGTTTAAATAATATTTTCTGCACAATCGTGTAAAAAATGTAGAAAGAGGGGACATGTAACAGGAATTCCTCAAGAAAGATGTAACAGGAGAGCATGAATACTAAAATACAATTGCATTTCACATGATTACGTTAGGTACAGAGCGTAAGTAAATCGTGTAAATAATATTTTCTAAACAATCGTGTAAAGAATGTGACAACAGGGGTAATGTAACAGTATTCTCGAGAAGGGTTTAATAGGAGAGCAGAATTATTGAAATGCAGGAGCATTTCGCTTAACTATGTTAGCCAAAGAGCGGAAATAAGTCGCTGAAATCCTTGGCAAAGTGGGAATGTAACAGGAATTTCACGAGAAAGGTATAACAGGAGAACATCAATACCTAAATACAGTAGCATTTCACTTAATTGCGGTAGGCGGAGTGTAAGTAAGCCGTTTAAACAACATTTTCCGCACAATCGTGTAAAAAATGTAACAACAGAGGTCATGTAACAGTATTTCTCGAAAAGGGTTTAACAGGAGAACAGAAATACTGAAATTGTAATGATGTGAAATTTAATGGGATTAATTCGTAACTTGACTCCTGTAGGAGAGGGTGGTGGTTTCGGAGACGTCGTGTTTGTCGACATTCCCACCAGTAGGTATAATTACCATCACCATTATATTCCCACGTCCTTCCAAACACTAAATAAACAGAAACCGAACCAGAAAGGCGACCACATTCCTGTCCCCTGGTTAGAGTAGCGATTGTAGATCGCGCTCTGACAATAAGTTACCTGTCTTATCAATTAAAGAGGTAGCAGAAGATCAGAGATACTTAAACACAGTAGCATTTCACTTGATTAAGGCACTAGAACTGATCCGTAGTCTGGGGGGTATTCCATACCCCCCAGACCCCCCCGGTAATACTCTTCCACAGACCGTTTAGACTTCAGAACTCGCTTGACAGTTGTTGGAGAAGGATTATGAGAACGTCATCTCCATACCGTAGAGAACGTAGCACCGGGGAGTATGGAATACTGCCCAGCAAACGGAAAAATCCTTGACCATCTTAGGAAAGTTATATTAAAATCGGCTGGGGTTCAAAAGCATCCAGCAAAGAAGGAGTCGGTAACCCTCTCCCTGTAACCCTCCGTACACTTATGGTAGTGTTCTAGAATGGCACGCAAACTGTGTCGTGTAGAAGGGGAGGGGACGGTCATCGACCTTCTCGCCCCGAGATTTCGTACAAAATATTTTGTTAGTGCCTGTGTGTTACTTGTGGTAGCTGATCAGGTGCTTGTGGGGGGTGGTTTAGTGACCGTTGCACGTAGCATTTTTATTTGGCGCGCAACGTGGGGCACATATCAGTATTTATCCGAATTTGATAGTATTTGAGATAAATGAAGAATTGCAAATGCCCGCCTTGCACCGTAAAACAAGGTCACTCCTTAGTTATGCAACCGGGAAGCGCCCTCACCAAGCCACGACTTTTTGGTCGGGGAAATCCCAGACCACGACCTTGCACCGCAAAATCCCCCTTTACCGTGACCGCGAACTTGGTCCAAAAGTTGGCTAATTCTCAGCAAATCAAAGGCGAGGAATAAAAAAAGTTATTAAAAATCATAGTCATGGAGACAGAGGAAATAAATCGTTAAACGCATATTGCCTGCACAACCGTCTAAGAAACAACTTTAGAAGTGTTTGGAAGATTTCGGAATATACAGGTGACCCTTCAGATGCGACCAGCCGAGAGCTCAAATTCAAAATAGTGCGTATCGAGTCTGCAAATTGTCTTTCAAAAATTTCAAAAATCTCAAAACCAATTTACCTGCGTTTGGCAATCCGGTAATATTAGCCACGTGGATGTCTTCGAATTTGCAACTTATTTCCAACATCATATCGTCACAATTCAATTCCTTGGGCCAGTTGATCAAAAAATCGCAAACGACGTTCTCGGCCTCAAATTTGGAGTAACCGCGTCCATTGAGTGGCACATTAATCAAGTGTCCCCGAACATCGAAATCCGCCGACAGACCTAGGTCTGAGAAGATGACCTGACCCCCAAGTACGCCATCTTTGGGTCGAACACTGGAAACACGTTTCAGCGTGACAACTTACGCGTAGCGACTTACTCTGCCGAGGTAAATCGATAGTTGTGCACTTGGTACAGGGTGAAACGTTTAAAGGCGATATAAACGTCGGAGATCGCAGATTCCAGTGTTATGTTGAAATCGGGGGAGACGAACGAGTCTAACGGACGTAAACCGATTTCCGGTATCCCACTTCTGACGTTCTCGTTTAGACTATTCGCAGCGGTTATAAAGCAATCACTTATGTTCGGATCGTCTTGGTAACATCTTGGAAGGTAGCTTGCTAGAAGGACCCAATACAAAGTTATCGATTCAATAATGGACTTACGCAGTTCGGCTGATTCGAGTTGAACAAATAAGCAAGCGGCCAGTAAAATAGACAGGAAGTACATTTTGGAAATGCCGATTGAATTACGTGAAAGCGTTTATATGTTTATATGAAATGTATGAGAAAAATGTAATAGAATAAAAATAATGATAAACAGTAACAGCAAACGAATTATGATAATGAAGTCGTAATTTTCTCATATAAAAAGTTCTAACAACCGATTCAAATCGGAAATTTCAAAATATTTCACATAACATTGCTGTAAGATTAACTTTAAAACACTTACGCATTGTCACCTGAACTAAGACGCCATTGTACCTACCAATCGACCCCTTTTTACTAGCTTAACTTACTAGTAGAATTCTACGACCGACAAAAACAGAATCCCATAAAAAACTCTACTTTGGACCACGAACTTGATGTATCGGAGCCCCAAATCCGAATGCCTTTCAAAATTCTCCCCCGTATTACTCCCTACCTATCATTCCTGATTAATAATGCCCCAAAATGGCGCTTTATTAATGAAATCGGCCATGTTTTTATTAAGTAGTACTCTGATTCGATCAACATCGACCAATTCCGTTAGCTCTAGTCACAATCTCACGCTAGGAATGCGGCTTTTTTCAGGCTCTTCACGCCACGCGGTTCTACGTTGGCAGTTTTTGGTCACGTAGACCTAATTAAAATAAAGTAATTTGCGCTTAACTCCGAACAGACTGGCGCCAAAGAGTTCTGGAGCTAGTTTACAAGACGCCTAAAAAATGATCACCAAGTACTAACGGACTAAATTTTCGAACGATCGCCCTTCTCATTTTGATAAACACACGCACGAAAGTTCGAAAAATCAACCCTGAATAAAAGGCTCCCGTTACATAGTCTTTAAAAACATTTGAAATCCCCTAACATCCTTTAGAAATCCGTTTTTCGGATTTCCAACAGCAATAATAAGCATGTAGAGTTCTTGAAATCCTACCTTTAAAAGTCTAGCATTTAAGAACGGAAGCCGATCGCGCCAATTCCGTTGGTTCCGTTATGAACTTAATATAAATAGCGAAGGACACAGAGAAAGTATACATCTCGTCTTGATGCAAAAGCTGAATTAATGTAAAGGGTGAATTATTAGTTGTATTTAGCCGGAAATGGGGAGCTTGACGCAATTGCGCAGGCGCGATTCTGCCCAAAAGCTTTTCAGCTCTTCCTTTTCTGTCTAAGAATATGTGCAAGTACCAGCATTATTATGTTTCTGTGTTCAATTTAAGGGGGGAAATGTTGCGAAAACCATGTCTTACTTGAATTTATGCATCAGTGTTATTTTTTCTATTAGAATTAGTTGTAATCGTATATTTCTTTTGTTTAAAGTTTGGCGATTTTGTAAATTGTGTATTTAATTTGTAAAGCGTGAAATTGCTTGTTAAAATGTAGATACATCGTGTCGTTTGCGATAAGGAGTTTTTATCGGACTAAATATCATCAACGCGCGTTGAACGTTACAACGAATTTACAGAAAAGATATACAGATGGCGTAAAGATCTGAAATGAATATTTAGATGGTAAAAATGTTGAATACACCCAACAGTTCCACTGACATTCCCAGAACGCAACCATAATAAAGTACTGATATATATATATATATATATATATATATTATATATATTACAACAGGGTGACAATTTGAAAACTTACCACCCCCATATCTTAGTAAATAAACGAGATATTTAAAAAAATCAAAATCCGTTTCGGTAATTCGGAGGGGGAATCACAATGACATAGTTGGCGACGCACCCCCTCCAACCCCCTGCGCCCCAGCCACCCCAACTTTTAAATCTTAAATAGTGACCCCCCATGTGTGATACGTCGTTGGAAAGCTCTGAAAAAATGCTTTCCAACCATACCAAATAGCATTACATTTAGGTTAGTAATTATCGTGCAAATCAAAAAATAAACATGGAAAATCGTATTTAACTTGAACTTCCAAAGCCGACTTGACAGCAACTCATTTTTGATCGCCAGTTATAATCTATTCTCAAACTCTTGTCGAACCTTTTCAAATGTTGGTTTTGCAATATTTCGACATTCTTGAATTATTCTCTGTCTTAGTTCGTCTATGTTCGCCGGTTGCGTTTTAAATACGACAGATTTCAAATGTATCATATTAGTTTATTTTTTGATTTGCACGATAATTACTAACCTAAATGTAATGCTATTTGGTATGGTTGGAAAGCATTTTTTCAGAGCTTTCCAACAACGTATCACACATGGGGGGTCACTATTTAAGATTTAAAAGTTGGGGTGGCTGGGGCGCAGGGAGTTGGAGGGGGTGCGTCGCCAACTATGTCATTGTGATTCCCCCTCCAAATTACCGAAAAGGATTTTGATTTTTTAAAATATCTCGTTTATTTACTAAAATATGGGGGGTGGTAAGTTTTCAAATTGTCACCCTGTATATAAAGTTCAAAGGGCTGTAAGTTGATCTAGTAGTCCAATCTTGGAACTGTTTGAAATTATGGATTCTACGAGCCAAACTCTATAAGAAAACGTTTTTTCCCGGTCGATCTCAGACAATTTTTTTTCCGGCCTCAAAAAAAGGCAGTTATTACCTTCCTTTTTTACCAAAAATCGACTGCACCAAAATTTCTCGGGAAAACACTTTTTCTCACTAATTTTGGTGCGTAGAATCCAAAACGATTCGTACTTTTTCGATCAGACCTCTCAATCAAAATTTATGGACTAAATACAAATTTCTCGATTATATATATATATATATATATATATATATATAAGAAAGGTTTTGAACCACGGCGTTTTTAACATACCGTTCCGGAAATGGATAGCGACTTTAACATTAGATGGGGGGGGGGGGGGTTACCCCCCAGTTGCGCGTCCTGAAAACTCACGGTTTGGGGAGTGTTACCGGAGGATATGTTGTGTATAATGAGGGGTTCAGTTCAGTGCTTCCTCGCCAGTTGCTATTAAGAGTTCCGGATGCTCTTCCTCCCTGGAATGTACTTACTTGGGGGCTTGGGGGAAGGGGAGGGGGTATGGGTATTCCATACCCCCAGACCATCCTGTATTAGATCCTCCACTAACTTGTTTAGCTTTCACTACTCGTGATCACAATGATCACAAAGCGCTGAAAGCCTAACAATTTGGGGTTGAGTGTAACACCGGGACGTCTGGGGGTATGGAAATCCAATACCCTCCCCTAGTATATACAGTCCACAAAAGAAATCTGAAGGTGTAACAATTTGGGGGAGAGTGTAACACCGGGGGATCTGGGGAGTATGGAATCCCCCCCCCCCTCAGGAGTTAAATATTCCGTGAATCTCCCTCGCGAGTCTCTTCCTCTCTAGAATGTACTTATCTGGGGAGGTTGAGGGGGGGGGGGGGACAAGACCGCTTGGTGAATTTGGAAAATCATAGAAATTAATGATATCTCTCATGGTATTCTAATTAAAGGTTTCAACGAAAGGAACCGTTTTCTACCAACTACCGCGCTTAGTTAGAAGGGGGGGGGGGGGGTGGAATTGATTCTATCCTTCATGGAACTCTAATGAGAGGTCTCAACGAAAAAGGAATTAATGTCGACCAACCATGACCCCCCTCCTCGACCTCTTATCGTTATCGAATATATTTCCTAATATCCGAGCTAATATCTCAAGAACGGATTGTCGGAAGAAGGTACTCACAAAGGGCGATTGGGACTTCTGGAAGAAATATATCCATTGGTGACTGGTGTTTTCAATAGAGTGTGCTTAATAAATACGATCACATGCATACATTAACAATTAATGTGACAAAGGCTGTACTTTTACAATTTTACATGTGGGAACGGTATTTTATTGAAAATATTCAAATGCCCTAGACGACTTTAGCACTTTGTTCTCATACCCACGGGTTCCCTAACATTTGTTTACCCAAAAGAGTTAGTATCGCGCTGAATTTACGAAAATGCGACGCATTACTGCTTTACTAGGCGCTTTTTTGGTCGTTTACGTCGAAACAGCTAAACTGCGTAAGTTTCTCAGACTCCATACTGTCCCCGGCGCCAATTCTGTCTGTAATTGGCGATTTTTAAATTTTTCGCCAATACGATCGTTAAAACAACGATTATCGGTTGCGAACGATATTCTATAACTCCTGTTTCAGCAAGCTACTTTCCAATATGTTACCAAGACGACCAGAAAATAAGCGAGTGCTTTATAAACGCCGCGAACAATCTAAATCAACAAGTCAGAAACGGGATACCGGAAATTGGTTTGCGGCCATTGGACCCTTACGTGTGTCCCGATTTTAACATGACAATCGAGTCACCCGTTAGCGATTTTCATGTCATCACAAATAGTTTTACCCTATATCGACTGTACAACTACCAATTTGTTGAGGCGGAGTAAGAGTAATGACAGTTAAACGCGTCTATACTTGACATTGTTTCAGTGTTCGACCAAAAGATGGCGTAATAGGAGGTCGAGTCATTCTACCTGATCTAAGTGTATGGACAAATTTTAAAGTTGAGGGGCACGTGATCAATCTTTCAGTCGCCGGAGGCGGCGAACTGGAAATGAACAATACCGTCACAACTTGTGATTTTCTCCTAAGCGATTGGGACGTAAAGGGCAATTGCAACGGGATTAAGGTGGACGTCACCTGCAAGGTGCATGACCTCAAACTGAACCTTACCGGACTGGTTAATGGAGGTACTGTCTCGGTTCTAAAAGTTTGATTGTTAAAGTAAAATTTCAGACGTGCTCATCCCTATTTTGAACATGAATTCTGAACTAATTGCCTCGGAAATTTCGCCCGCCTATTCGCAACTTTTCCAGGAAATATTGAGGCCGTTCCTTATTCGTTTGTGCAGAAAATATTCGATCGATGAATTGTTTCCTCGGACCTCCTAATTAAGTTGGTCTGTTCTTGAAAGTCACTCTCTACATTGTAATTAACGAACATGTGTACATATAGAAGAAGACATTAAATTTTTAACGTTATTTTTATCGCGAGATTGTATTAAGTTAAAAGACGCACGTGGTAGAGGTGATAAATGGAATTGAAATGAGTGCAGAATTGTTTAGGCAAAGGGTCCATTTTAAATCTGAGGGTGTAGCATGGAAGAGCATTCGGATCATAATTTTTTACCATAAAAGATACCACGGCACCCGCCTAAATAAACTATAGCTGCCGACACTACGTTTTTTCTCAAACAAAAAAGAAAATTTAAATAGCCCGCGACGTGGATAATGATTGGCGTGTTATTTTTCGAGAGGAAACTCGAATTCAGACGAAAAAAGAAAACAATTAAATTATGGGGTCAAATATACTTGTGGTACGCTTTCCGAATAATCCCGCAATTATTTATAAACGTTCTCTATTATCGTGTGTACGAACATATCGACCCAGATCTTTGACCTGGCGAAGATTTAGATCATTATATGTATCAATGGGACGAGTAGAATTTCCACTGATGTTCATTATCTCGAGAAGGAGCTGTAATTACCACAGAACGCTGACCTTATCTAGGGTAATGTACTCATCGCGCAGGAATCTCTGAATAGCTACGAGGTTTTTATTTAGACTTCACTATTTATTCGTAAGAGTGAACAACAAACTCGATTACTGCATACTAGCATACCCTAAAAATGCGTCCACCAAACCAAAAGCTCCGGTTACCCTCTGGTACATATTTATAAAACATTCATTCCTTTTCTCGGTTCCGTTCATCATTCCTTACCAAATTAATGCGTCGTCAAACGGTAAACTTCGAGGAAACATCTTCTTAATTTGAAACTAATTAGCTTAACGCAGCGATAACGAAGTCCTATCGCTCTGACCGGAGATAAACAAAATGCAACACGTAATTTCAATTATTATTTAAACAAAACTAAACATCAAATAAATCTGAAACATAACCACATTGACCTCGAATTCGAATGATATGATCGAATCATTCAATCATAAATAACAACCGCATTAAAACCCTACAAACCGAAATACGCTAAGTGAAAACGCGCCCGTTGTAAAAATATAAACGCCGCGGTTTTATTACGAACGCATACGGGTAAATCAGTATTCAGAATTGTCGCATAAATTACAAACCGACGTTTCCGGTGAATAAATGCCCTTTCGACTAATGAAAGACTAAACCGAAAGCAAAAAATTAACCCGTTTCGGTTAGTGCTCTAATGAGAACTCGGAAATAGAAAGCTAGTTTGAATGCAGTCGAGATAATTAAACAAGTTCATTGCCAGATCAATACCATACACAAAAAGGTACTCGACCAAGGAATGCAAGAAAAACAAACTGGCTTGTTTTAGCTACTGATTCCCCCTTAGAGATCCAATATTGTCCGTTGGTAAGGCGCCGTCTGTTCAAAAAAAAAAGGGCAGTACCACGTTTGTACCGTACAGAAATCACTTATTTTCGAAAACAACAAGGGTAACGTCATCGCTTTTGATTTGTATAAAAAATAATGATCGGTTTTCTCTAAGAAATTGGCATAAAATTTCCAAAATCTGCGGATCATGAGTTGGGGATTACTCCCCTGAGCCCTCCGTTCTACACTTTTCTTGAAAGCGTATAGTGCCTATAACCTTTAAACCATAATTTTGAGAAAGAGACCATTAAACGTCGGAATCTTCGTCAAAAAAGCAAGATTCAATGACCATTTAAGAGAACCATCACGATAGTCCTTAGTGCTGTACGTTTTGAAAATTCGGTTACAATTTTTGCCCGGACGATGATTATCAGAATGTCTCCGGACGTTCCTTAGGTATTTAAGAACAAAATTGCGTGGACTATCTTTACCCTTTCAGAGTCGTTACCCCTCTTCTGCTTTTCTTTTTGCGCTTCGCTATTTATATCAACGCAAAAACGCAACCAACGAAATTTCTGCGATCAACGTCCTCTTTTAACCAATCGTAGATCAGCGTCTTTTGTTTACAATGCAATTTTGTCTCGGCTAAGACGGAACCACCGAAGCGTAAAATGCCTAAGTTTATCGATAATAGCTTGACCCGCGCCTGCCGTCCGTACGAAACGGTATATGTACATGCAATGTTACTCAAAAATAAAATTTGGGAAAAAACCGCGTATCAGAACATTATTGCAAACGATAGAAAGGCACAGTCTATACAAAATCCGGGGGCTCGCAAAATGAACGTCTGCTTTTGATTTGCGTACATTCGACCACTGCAGAAGTGCGACTATTTACATGTTTTATTTTTGAGTCTTTAGAATTTTCGCGCGTCTAGCTTCACGCCGTTATCCGCAGTCGCAATTAATTTCCTGTCTCGCAATCCAACATTACTTAAAGTCACGCAACTTTAACCTTTGTGGTTTAAAACTTCCACTATTGTTCGTATTTCCTGTGATAGTTTCGAAACCGGAAATGATCCCTTTTAAGGTCACCAAATCACAACTTTGATTTGCACGTACTTAACTTCGTTACTGGCGGCCTAAACACTCCACTTTTTAGGTTATTAGTGCCACACCAATATACAAAAACCCCCTGTAGTTAATAACAGTTAAGTCGAAATAACTGCTTCACGACGACTGACTCCCAACAACCCACTTCATACTACCGTACATTTTTCATTCACACCCGTTCCGCCAATCAACACTCATTTTTGTGTCCAATCAGAACGCCTGACACCCATAAATTTACGTAAAGTGGAATAATTTCGCGCAAAGTTATCAGATCTCACACTACGTGACAAATTTGATAACGACGGGTATAGCCCTTGCAAAATCGTTCAGTAATTCTCGATAGTCTCCCACGACTTGTCGGCGCCTCAAGATTTCACAAGCATTTAACCGTCAAGATCGCTCGTCTACATACAAAATCGAAAAAGATCAGACAAAAATTCGAATGAAATAAAATCCGTTAACGAGTTCCTGTTACACCATACTCGAAGTAGTGCATAACTTTTGTTTCAAAGGTTGTATTGACCGCTCGACAATTTTGTTCTGAAATACCTCAAGGATTTACACAGAATTCCGCATTTCCACTCCTACATTATAGCGAATTCAGAAGAAAACAATTAAATTATCTGGTTACCATAGAAACGATATAAGATAACCGGGTAAAATGGACTTGTGGTACGCTTTCCGAATAATCCCGCAGAAAAAGGACAGATTCAATGTTGCTCTCCCTCCGTCTAACAAAATATATTCCATACCCCCCCGGTTTTCCTTTGTCCTTCAAAACGTAGAGTGCCCATAGCACTATTTGAAACTTCTCTTACGCCTTCTACTCTGCTACTTTAGCCTCAATTTTTTCCACGCGACTTTGCGGTTTTTAAAAGAACAATATTTTTAACTTCTCCGGCTGCATGTATTTTCCAATCTCGGCCAGTATTAAATTACCAGATGTATTAATAAAGGGTAGTGTGGGAGGGGGAGAGATAATATCATTATACGGCTAATCCGCCTCGGGGATCAACACCGTCCTGATTACGAAAAATGGGCACTAAAAGTGCGTTATTCGCGAGTGAAAATAAATCATGTTACTATTGATTGTTTGGGGGGGTAGCGAAAACGTGTGGGTTGTTTCCAATTTCGTCGCATCGCACGACGTTCGCGATTTTTACGGAAGCGCAAATCAAGATAAACGACCTTATTAGATTGTTTACATTATCGATTCGCATTTTTCCAGGAAATAGAAGCGGATTGAGCGTAGCGCACCTAAACGAATTTGCATAAACAATAATCGGACATGGTCCTTCGAGCCGGAAGCTGATAAGAAGAACCTTGTCTCGTTTCCGTACACCCGTAAACCTTGCGGCTCGCATTTTCAAATTTATTGGGCAATTATGCGAACCAGCCTACGTAAATTTGGTGACAGCCGGTGCACTCGATTCCAATTTACCAACGTTAACCGCGAAGGTCGCCAGTAATCGTCCGTGTTTTCAACAAAATAACATCAAAAGTGGTTTTGCGGTCGGCTCTGACACAATGTTAGAAAAAAAGAGATTGGAAGGTCAAATCGACTTACCATCAAGCATCTCCGGCGACAAGTTCAATATCAACAACGTCGTGGTAATTTCCGCGCGGGGGCCGAAACGAAAGCAAAAAAGGTAGCAGCACAAGAATTTTCCTCGTCCGGATAACCGCGCGCGCGGGATGTCGTGGCCGAATTAGTTCATGGTCGCGTTCGGCGCGCAGGGATGGCCAGATGACAGAAGCGGGTCGATAATGTGGGAGGAGGCTGTTGTATATTTTGGTCCTTTTATCATCGCCCCGGCGCTTTTCCGGCGAAACGTCTACGCTTTTGATAATAATTTTGCTAATAGGGCACCAACCCCTCCCGCGGGGGTGCCTAATCACAACAACGCTCGCTTATCGCAAATGATTATTAATAGTCCGCGCTCCAGTTTCTGCAAGCTTGCGTAACGCTTTTGCAAGCCCAATCCGGTTACGGTTTACACAAATAGTCACTAATGCGTGAAATTTATGTAAAAATGCATTCTGAGGACGCGCGTAGGCGTAAGACATCGCAAATCGGTGCTTCGGCACGTATTTTCCACCCCCGGGTGACAAGAACGTGATTATTTTCTATAATTCGGTACTTAGAGCCTTTTTTATGCGGCACCTCGCCTACTGTGTCAAAGTTTAGATCCCCGGCCATGAGAAGGTCCAACACAATAGCCTCTATTTTTTGGAATTTTTCATTATAAGGCACTGAATATAGTTTATCTATTGAATCGAGAAAACCTTGAAAGTCCCGAAGGAAATGAATTACAAATTTGCATTGATTGACGTTATTACGTTAGGATTTTATGTTCTACGTGAAAAAAAAACACGTGGTGAGCATATCGTGGAAAAATCTACGCTTTTCTTATTTGCGGTGGCGATTTGTTCGCAAGGTACCGAAAAGGGGGGTGCTGCAGTGCTCTTATCCACCACACAGTAAAAAGTAAAAACGGTAACAGTCAACTTCTCGTCTATAGTGCCATCTTGTTGACAGCCGCCATCTTGTATACAGTTGCCTTTTGTTTTCAGCCGACATGAGTTTCATATAAGTCATGAGCGTCCGAAGATTTTGATAGGTGCGTAAGGAGAAGAACGTTCCACCTTTACGTAATTTCTCACCCCCCAGACCCCTCGCTTCTACGTTTTCCCGCAAAACCTACACCCCAAGCGGGGAGGCCAATAACCCCTAGCCAAGCGTTCGAAAATTTTGGCCAGCTTAAGCAAAAGAACATTGGAAGGGGGGGGGGGGTCCCATCCCCACACACCCGACGTTGTTACGTTTTCCCTAAAGACGTACAGCTCAAAGGCACTGGTTTTCTGAAATGGGCATGGAGTTTTGCTTTTCCGACTCCACAGACTCCCGATGTTACACTACACGTTTTGTGGAAGAATAGAGACCCCTCTATACCCCCCAACCAAGCGTCAGAAAACTTTCACAGGTGTAAGGACATTGAATCGATCCTTTGTTCCTGGGGGGTATTCCATACCCCACGAACCCCCCGGTGCTACGTTTTCCCTCAAAACGTACCGCCCAAAGGACTCTCGCGGTGGTTTTAATAAATGGACGTCGAATTTTGCTTTTCTGACGAGGATTCCATACTGCAGAAGCTCCTGGTGTTACTTTATATCTTCTGGGGGAGAATATACAACCGTGGGGTCTGGGGGGTATGGAATACCCCCCAGCCAAGCGTCCGAATACTTTAATAAGAGTAAGGAAAAGAACATTGAATCTATCCTTTGTTCCTGGGGGGTATTCCATCCCCCCCAGACCCCCCGGTGCTACGTTTTCCCTCAAAACGTGCAGCCCAAAGTACTCTCGTGGTGGTTTTCATAAATGGACGTCGAATTTTGCTTTTCTGACGAGGATTCTATACTGCAGAAGCTCCTGGTGTTACTTTATATCTTCTGGGGGAGAATATACAACCGTGGGGTCTGGGGGGTATGGAATACCCCCCAGCCAAGCGTCCGAATACTTTAATAAGAGTAAGGAAAAGAACATTGAATCTATCCTTTGTTCCTGGGGGGTATTCCATACCCCCCAGACCCCCCGGTGCTACGTTTTCCCTCTAAACGTACAGCCCAAAAGACTCTCGTGGGGTTTTTCTGAAATGGACGTCGAATTTTGCTTTTCTGACGAGGATTGCATACTCCAGAAGCTCCTGGTGTTACATTATACCTTCTGGAGGAGAATATGCAACCGGGGGGTCCCGGGGGATGGAATACCCCCCCAGCCAAGCGTCCGAATATTTTAATAAGAGTAAGGAAAAGAACATTGAATCTATCCTTTGTTCCTGGGGGGTATTCCATACCCCCCAGACCCACCGGTGCTACGTTTTCCCTCAAAACGTACAGCCCAAAGGACTCTCGCGGTGGTTCGCATAAATGGACGTCGAATTTTGCTTTTCTGACGAGGATTGCATGCTCCAGAAGCTCCTGGTGTTACACTATATCTTCTGGGGGAGAATATACAACCGGGGGGTCTGGGGGGTATGGAATACCCCCCAGCCAAGCGTCCGAATATTTTAATAAGAGTAAGGAAAAGAACATTGAATCTATCCTTTGTTCCTGGGGGGTATTCAATACCCCCCAGACCCACCGGTGCTACGTCTTCCCTCAAAACGTACAGCCCAAAGGACTCTCGCGGTGGTTCGCATAAATGGACGTCGAATTTTGCTTTTCTGACGAGGATTGCATACTCCAGAAGCTCCTGGTGTTACACTATATCTTCTGGGGGAGAATATACAACCGGGGGGGGGGTATGGAATACCCCCCAGCCAAGCGTCCGAATATTTTAATAAGAGTAAGGAAAAGAACATTGAATCTATCCTTTGTTCCTGGGGGGTATTCCATACCCCCCAGACCCACCGGTGCTACGTTTTCCCTCAAAACGTACAGCCCAAAGGACTCTCGCGGTGGTTCGCATAAATGGACGTCGAATTTTGCTTTTCTGACGAGGATTGCATACTCCAGAGGCTCCTGGTGTTACACTATATCTTCTGGGGGAGAATATACAACCGGGGGGTATGGAATACCCCCCCAGCCAAGCGTCCGAATATTTTAATAAGAGTAAGGAAAAGAACATTGAATCTATCCTTTGTTCCTGGGGGGTATTCCATACCCCCCAGACCCACCGGTGCTACGTTTTCCCTCAAAACGTACACCCCAAAGGACTCTCGTGGTGGTTCGCATAAATGGACGTCGAATTTTGCTTTTCTGACGAGGATTGCATACTCCAGAGGCTCCTGGTGTTACACTATATCTTCTGGGGGAGAATATACAACCGGGGGGTATGGAATACCCCCCAGCCAAGCGTCCGAATATTTTAATAAGAGTAAGGAAAAGAACATTGAATCTATCCTTTGTTCCTGGGGGGTATTCCATACCCCCCAGAGCTACGTTTTCCCTCTAAACGTACAGCCCAAAAGACTCTCGCGGTGGTTTTCATAATGGACGTCGAATTTTGCTTTTCTGACGAGGATTGCATACTCCAGAAGCTCCTGATGTTACATTATATCTTCTGGGGGAGAATATACAACCGGGGGGTATGGAATACCCCCCAGCCAAGCGTCCGAATATTTTAATAAGAGAAAGGAAAAGAACATTGAATCTATCCTTTGTTCCTGGGGGGTATTCCATACCCCCCAGACCCCCCGGTGCTACGTTTTCCCTCTAAACGTACAGCCCAAAAGACTCTCGCGGTGGTTTTCATAATGGACGTCGAATTTTGCTTTTCTGACGAGGATTGCATACTCCAGAAGCTCCTGGTGTTACATTATACCTTCTGGAGGAGAATATGCAACCGGGGGGTCCCGGGGGTATGGAATACCCCCCCAGCCAAGCGTCCGAATATTTTAATAAGAGTAAGGAAAAGAACATTGAATCTATCCTTTGTTCCTGGGGGGTATTCCATACCCCCCAGAGCTACGTTTTCCCTCTAAACGTACAGCCCAAAAGACTCTCGCGGTGGTTTTCATAATGGACGTCGAATTTTGCTTTTCTGACGAGGATTGCATACTCCAGAAGCTCCTGATGTTACATTATATCTTCTGGGGGAGAATATACAACCGGGGGGTCTGGAATACCCCCCAGCCAAGCGTCCGAATATTTTAATAAGAATAAGGAAGAGAATCTATCCTTGGTTCCTGGGTATTCCATACCCCCCAGAGCTACGTTTTCCCTCAAAACTTGCAGCCCTAATGACTCAAATCGCCCGAGTCTTAAAATAGTGTGTTGTAGCCCTCTCAATGTTACAATCACTGCAAGTTTGTATTGAAGACCATTGCTATCGCAGCTTGTTCAGTTTAAGGAGACATCCATTTGGATAAAATCAATGTCGGTTTAATTGAAAATTTTTATATGTATTATTTCTGGCGATTAACCGAATTTGGTGTGTTCTCGAATTGGTTTGGAATGAGATACAGTTGGGAGGCTATAATTTGAATGCGTACGTAAGTATGGCCATTTTCTTTAACCACCTTGTTATCTCGTGTGTTTCGAAGTTTGAACCGATTAAGGTGTTCTAAGCTATTGATGCATGATCGAATTGATTTTGTTGGTATTATAAATGTGAGTGTGCATTCTCCTTCGGGAATTGCTACACGTAATTGACACACTCGGAATACACGCATTTTGGGTCATCGTCATTCCAATTACCGAGTGGTTTAGTTCGTTTTTTTCTGTTTTCGAGTGAAATTTCTTGAAGCGTCGCCGGCTATTTCTTCATTAAAAGGTAAGTTCATGAATGTGTTTATGGGATACTTGTACTTTCATTGGCCAGAAGTCGCTCTCAAACATGCCCACAATACCTGACAAAGATCAAAATCGAGAAATGTCATAATCCAAACTTGACGCATGGACTTAAATAATCTCGTGCATTTATGTAGATGTTCTCAAGCGCAAATCTTTCCACTAAAACCTGGTGTAACAAGGATTTTTGAAAATGACTAATGCATTTTTGGAATTATGGGAATTTCGTGCGTGATTCCCCTTTTTGAGGATATCTCAAAGTCATGATTAACAAGGCAATTATGTTTTGATTCGGACTAATCGTAAACATACAAAGTTTAGAAGAAATTTTCCCAATTAGCATAGATCACTCGAGGAAAAAACTCGTTTAGTGACCACAAAAGTTATTTATAAGTAAATCGTTCATAAAAATATCTCGTCCTTGTTAACTTATGAGGGAATTTATTAATGTTTACCGTTACACTTTGTCATTGGTAAATTGGACAGTAAATTGGGGGTTGTTTTAATTATATTCATGGTCGGCAATCGGGTAATAATTCAAAAAATTGACCTCACCGCATGACTCCACACACTCACGTGCGCGTTAGGAAATCGATTTTTTCGACGAAATTTCGACTGATAACGCCCTAGATCTACGAGTAATTGCTGCGGTGGCGATAAAATCCCAAAATTTGTCCCTAATCGCAAGTCACTTCCAGTCCGATTGCGGAATTTCCGCATTTCCGCGTCCCCCAAGCGCGAAAGTGAGTGAGACAAACTTTGAGCGAGCAAGTTCATTTCTAATATGATTGTTTCACACAAAGACATACGAATGGAAGGTGGATATTATAGAAGGGTCAACTTCTTTTTCATGACAGTGCAGCTAACAGCGCGGTCACGGTTAGACGAGCCGGGACAGTTGGCGTTAAGGGCTCGAGTGGTTTTCTGCCTTGTTTTGGATTTTTGACAGTTTTGGGGTAAGCCCTTTTGTTTTTGTTTTTTTGCTTAACTCGGTGCGTGTCTATTTTTAAATGGGAACACCATCAAGGCAGCCCGTAAACCTTGGCATTGAGTCGGTAGAGAAAGTTTAAAGGCTCGCCTTTGTTTCTTGCAGAAAAATGGCACGATTGGCGGAAAGGCTGAGCTTCCTGTACCAGCCGTACGTGCTGGCGGTCGTTTCGATTGGATACGTTATGGGCGAACTGGGCCACTACCTCATCGGGGTTACATCAAAGGCGATCGCCATGGACTTGCATTACGGCGATATCGCCTGCCAATTGAACAATACCAACTACCACTTGTCGGAGTTACCGGATCTTTGCCATACGGCGAACAATTCGGAAACGTAAGTGTCTTTGCGCCCTTGATGTCCACAATATTAGCATAATTATGCCAAACCTTGGCATGCAAATTGAGAAGCGTCCGATTTTTTTCCCTTACCTTGGTGGCGCTTTATTATCTTCGCTTCTCAAGTCAATAAAAATGTCAATTTCTGTACGTCACCTTCAGAAATACTGCCGGTGCAGGGTAAAGGGAGGCGTCGTACTTTAATCTCGACACCATGAACTGTGAACCGTGTCAATTGATTGTCATCCATCTTGCCAATTCCGCGATGCTGCCCCATTAACTTATATTGACACCGATCAATGTTACGATGCTAATTGGCCGTGAGTTGCACTTTTTTCCCGCGTAATTTCAAGGTTACGCACCGCGTAATTCGAAACAGTGTCACTTTCGAATTCTTACATTTTTTATCAAAGAGCGCGCGCGCCGCCTTAGTTTAAAATATGCTAATTAATTAATGAAAACGAAGGTGGATCGACCGGTCAACTCAAAAATGTAAACATCACGCTGAATCCGATTAAATCACGGACGTAAAAATTGTGCAATCGATTTAGATTATGTAAAATCCTCGGCGCGTGGTTGGAATTTATTTGCAATTGCAAATCAATTGTAACGTTACAATTACAAAATGCAACGAGGTTGATTCTAAGCCACCGTAAAGAATTAATTCTGGTAGCATACTCGATAATGTTCTAGAAGGTTCGCAACACTACCCCCCTCTTGAAACTGTTGAAGTACTGTAGCCTCATAACTAGGTCCTTTGTTTCGATATAATGAAGAAATCGTGCTTGCTCCGGAATTAGAACTCTAAGGCAATACCCCGGGACATCGCGGGTCAAAGCGTATTCCGCTGGAGCTTCAAACACTCGTTCTATCCCGTGTATAATCGAGCCCACCGATTTATATGGATTCATTGAATTTATTATCAAAAGTCCCGACCCTATTGAACAATTTGTGACCAAGTGGGGGGGCACCCCCCTCCCCAGAAACAAAACATTTGAAAGCTCCCTCTCGAAGCAACTGTCGTGGCAGATTTCCGGAAAAGGTAGCCGCTTTCTCTTGTGCTGGCGAGTAACACCCCCCTCAAGATGTTTTACCCCTAAGCGTTATCCAAATCTCCAAAAAAATGAAAATTTGATGACACCCCCCCCCCCAGAAAAGTTGAAAGATTCAATGTTTTTTCCCTACACCCATCAAAAGGGTATCCCCGCTCCCACCGATTCTTCCTGTGCCGGGCGTTATTCCCTACCGCCGGCAGACACCCCCTTCCCATGTTAACATTACCCCCACAACGTTCCCCAAATCTCCATATCCAAGAAAAGGGATATCCTAGAACGGAGGGGGGGAGGCGGCAAGTCTGAGGAGAGGATGAAATGGAAAAAAGAAAGATTCAATGTTCTCTTCCGCACACCTACCAAATCTCCGGACGCATTGTTGAGGGTTTTCCATACCCCCCCCCCCCCCCGGCCACCCTCTTCTACATTTTACTTTACTTGTTGGTCTTGGTAGGGTGTGGAATCATGGTCAGGGAAGCACATAGTCCTTAAGAGCTGTACATTTTGTGTGATTACATAAATAGATTACATACTCCCCAGACCCCCCGGTTCTACATTCTGCCCCAAAACGTATCCTGCATACCCCTAATATTATAATTATTGAAAATGAACACCAGGAGTTGATGAGGTGTGGAATCATGATCAAGAAAGCAAATTTCGATGGTCTCTTATAGAAAACTATCACTAGTTCTTAAAAGCTGTACGTTTTATGTGATGACATGGCACCGGGGGGTCTGGGGGGGTATGGAATACCCCCCCGGAACGAAAGGAAAGATTCGGCGTTCTTTTTCCCTAGACCTATCACACTTCCGGATTCTTGGCTAGGGGGTTATTCCATACCCCCCGGTTCTACATTCTGCCCCAAAACGTATCCTCCATACCCCTAATATATAATTATTGGAAATGGACACCAGGATTGATGAGGTGTGGAATCATCATCAAGAAAACAAATTTCGATGGTCTCTTATAGAAAACTATCACGCTAGTTCTTTAAAAAGTGTACGTTTTGTGTGATAACATGCACCGGGGGGTCTGGGGGTATGGAATACCCCCTAGGAATAAAAGGAAAGATTCTACGTTCTTTTCCCTAGACCTATCACACTTCCGGATTCTTGGCTGGGGGGTATTCCACCCCCGGTTCTACATTCTGCCCCAAAAGGTATTCTGCATACCCCTAATATTATAATTATTGAAAATGAACACCAGAAGTTGGTGAGGTGTGGAATCATCATCAAGAAAGCAAAATTCCATGGTTCTTTATAGAATACTATCACGCTAGTCTTTAAAAGCTGTACGTTTTGTGTGATAACGTAGCACCGGGGGGTCTGGGGGGTATGGAATACCCCCCACGAACAAAAGGAAAGATTCTACGTTCTTTTCCCTACACCTATCACAATTCCGGATTCTTTGCTGGGGGGTATTCGATACCCCCCAGACCCCCCGGTTCTACATTCTGCCCCAAAACGTATCCTCCATACCCCTAATATTATAATTATTGGAAATGGACACCAGGAGTTGATGAGGTGTGGAATCATCATCAAGAAAGCAAATTTCGATGGTCTCTTATAGACAACTATCACGCTAGTCTTTAAAAGCTGTACGTTTTGTGTGATAACATGGCACCGGGGGTCTGGGGGGTATGGAATACCCCCCAGGAACAAAAGGAAAGATTCTACGTTCTTTTCCCAACACCTATCACAATTCCGGATTCTTTGCTGGGCCCCCGACCCCCCGGTGCTACATTCTGCCCCAAAACGTATCCTGCATACCCCTAATATTATAATTATTGGAAATGGACACCAGGAGTTGGTGAGGTGTGGAATCATCATCAAGAAAGCAAATTTCGATGGTCTCTTATAGACAACTATCACGCTAGTCTTTAAAAGCTGTACGTTTTGTGTGATAACATGGCACCGGGGGTCTGGGGGGTATGGAATACCCCCCAGGAACAAAAGGAAAGATTCTACGTTCTTTTCCCAACACCTATCACAATTCCGGATTCTTTGCTGGGCCCCCGACCCCCCGGTGCTACATTCTGCCCCAAAACGTATCCTGCATACCCCTAATATTATAATTATTGGAAATGGACACCAGGAGTTGGTGGGGTGTGTAGTTTTCGTCCGGAAAGCAAAAATTCGAGGGTCCTTTAAAGAACCATACTTTTTCAAATTTACAAAAACCGCGTACAAAATTGCTCTAATAAGTTAAAGCGGCTACTTGAACCAATCACGCGCGTATAAAGGCCATTAATCAATATCCGCCAGATTTCAAAATTCGCGCTTCTCACGATGCTCCATGGCATCATGAATCGGCCGTTTTGGTCACGTAAAAAACATTAAGATTGTGTTATCGCACGTCTGACTGTCGCCAGTACATTTTTCACGCCCGAAAATGGCGAATTATCTTCCAAATGGCGATTAGATAACTTACATTACATCACTGGTGTACCACACCCCAATGATTAGATGTAAAATGCTCATGATCATGTAGTTTCATTTGTCTAATTTTCAGTTGTTTATCTTTCAACATAAACGGCACGTATTACTGCGAATGGAATTACAACGGATTAGGCATCGACTATCAGATACTGGCCGGTCCCAGTTTCATGGCCGTCTTCACCATAATGGGCGTCATCCTCGGCTTCGCCGCCGACAAATTCAACCGGGTTCGCATGCTCACGATCTGCACGGTCATCTTCGGAGTGGCGATCATCCTCTGCGGCATCGTCAAGGAGTACTGGCACCTGGTCGTACTTCGGATGATTGTAGCGGCGGGGTACGTCTGCGAACACCGCGACAAAGGCTCACCTTCAATTTTAGAGAATCCGGCTGTAATCCGCTCGCGACTGGCATCCTCACCGACATCTTCCCCGAGGAGAAGCGCGCGCTGGTGATGTCGATTTTTAACTGGGGAATCTACGGAGGGTACGGTCTCGCGTTTCCCGTCGGCAAGTACATACCCCGTTTAAACATCGCGGACTCGGTAAGTTTGGTACATCACTCGCTGCAGTTCGACGATTACCTTATGCTTAGGGGTGGAGATCTGTGTATTACGGTACGGGGCTTATCGCGATAATCATTGCGGTCCTAACCGGATTAACACTAAGAGAACCTGCGCGCCAATCGATCAGCGAGGGTGACCAAGAGACGACAGTAAAAACGAAGAAACGACAAATGGTTTGGGCCGTCATTAAGGATCCGCGCATAATCATGTTGGCGCTCGCAGCTTCGCTTCGTCATTGCGGTAAGTGCCCCCAATCGTTCTCCTACTGGAGATCATCGAGGAATTGCAGGTGGAATGTGTTTCGCGTACAACTGTGACTTGTACTATCAGACGTACTTCCCCGACTACGATTTGAGCTGGTGGCTGTTCGCCGTAACTATAGTGATCGGTAGCATTGGCGTCGTAATTGGTGGAATTATCTCTGACAAAATAGTGGCGAAAATGGGAGTCCGCTCGCGACTGGCCGTTTTGGCTATCAGCCAAATCATCGCCACCCCGGGCTCGTTCGGAGCAGTCTACCTGGGTCCCGTATGGGCCATGGTCACCTTGGGAATCTCCTACTTTTTCGGTAAGTGCTCATTCTGCAAACCATGTCTCACTCGATTTTGGGCAGCTGAAATGTGGTTCGGAATTCTTTTCGCGATCCTCGTCGAAATCGTTCCGCTGCAAGTGCGATCGACAACCGTCGGCATATTCCTGTTCGTGATGAACAACATCGGAGGCAACCTCCCGATCCTCGTCGACCCGGTCTCGCGAGCGATAGGCTACCGAGAAAGTCTCTACATCTTCTTCGCCGGATTTTACGGAATCAGTAAGTAGCCGAAATCGCCCCCCGATCCTTTAAAACGCAATTACTCTCGCAGGTTCCATCATGTTCTTTTTGACCATGTTCCTGATGGAAGGACCGCAAAAGGAGGCACCGACGCCGCTCGCTAAGGAGCTGGGACACGACAACAAAATTTTCACGACGGCCGACGAGTCCTCGTTGGCTACGCTACCAAAACGAACCGCCTATCCGAATATACACATCGAAAGGCCGTACATGCACGAGAGCAGTCGACTGTGAATCGTACAAATTCTTAATGTGTTGTAAATAGCTCAATCTCTTTAGCTTTAAGTTGTTTGATTCTCGTAATTTATTTTGTTGTAAGTTAGTGGATAGTCGATAATAAAATTGTGCTGTTATCTGGTAGTTTGACATGGTAACCATAGTTACTTAGACCATCGTTTACTGGGGGACTCGATAACCCTTTCCCTATAACCCTCAATACTCGTATGGTGGTGTTCTGGAAACTATCGTACACAAACAAAATCCACATACTCAAAAGGGGCAAAGTTAATTAGAGGACCCCCCTTCTCGTATTGCTAAGACACAAGACCTGCAGTGCGCACAAGATGAGGAAGCAACATGATACTGCGAAGAGTCGCAACTGTATGAGGAACTTCTTTTACAGAGTAAAAGGTTAGTCGACACACACAGAGCAACAGTACACTGACAATATAATTCCACGTGGATACATAGATAAATACTTAAAAACAATAAAACAATTTAGATATAATCACCTGTACAGTATAACAAATAAGTCTCAACCTGAAATAAATCTTGGATGCGAGAAGGTAAATCTAACATAAACACTCGATCGGTGTCGCACAATGGGTTCGAATAAACACAAAATCCGAAAAACATCAAAAGAAAATTAAACAAAATTCCTGAAACAAAGAAAAGCGTGCAAAGCTTGTTTGGAAAAATTACCCCGCACGCAGCCGTTCGACAGACAAAATAAGAAAATCACAAGATTACTTAGTTTTTTTTCTGTTTTAATAATCCAAATAATTTAATCGTACAGAGGTTTGCGATAAACAAGCCGCACTTAACACCACAAACGCCCACAGCTTCTAAACTTCACTTTTGTTTAACGTATTAATATTAACTTGACAAATCAATGGAAAAACCGCTTTAAACTTCTCAACAACTTGCTTCTGCACAAAATTATTATAGCAAAGACAGAACAACGTCTTCAACTAATCAAATCGGGCGGACTGCCCAAATTTAAAAAAAATAGCATAGTAAAACATACACGCTTTCCAACCGTCGTGAACCAGCCGTGTTCATTTGTCGTCTGCAATATTTAAAGAAACGCCACATCCACTAAAAATAATTTTCCAAATAATGCGCCAATCATAATTAGATTAGTTAACGCAAAACGTGTCCCCACTTACACCCGCATCTCCCGTTCACAACAACAGATGTGCATTATCGTAGAAATCAATTAAACTTTCTGCGGATATCAAAAGTGCTTTTCGCAAGTACTTTTATAAAATACTCAAATTTGACCACGTGTCTTACTTAACGCGCCTTATCTAAATTGGCAAACAATTCTAAAATGGAAAAACAACACAGAAAAACAAATTCAAATGAAACGAACAAATTCTACGCTAATTCGTAAATAATCCCCCACATTTACTTTAGTAAATTGAAATATTTCTCATATACAGGGTGGCCAACTAAGAATGCGAGGTACTGTATCTGAGAATCTATCCATCGCAGAGGCTTGCGGTAAAAAAATGTATTACTAAAACGACCACGAGCAAAACCTGGAACATATTTCTGAAATGACCGCTAGGGGGCGTAACTGCAATCTAGAATCTAAAAAAGTGATTTTTCTGTGAATTCCGCTAACCTAACAAAAAAAATGTCCGGTTTTTGAACAATTTTTGTTTGACAATTTTTCCTGTATCTCTAAAAATGAAGTGGCGGGGGGTATTCAAAGGTTTCCGTAAAGAACACCCTGTACCTTCGAAACGGCTGAGACGATTTAAACAAACTTGCTAGTTAGTTCAAAAGAGCTATTCTTCAGCTACAAATATTATACTATTTGAAGTTTTGTTAGTTTCACATATCACCGCTTGAGGGCTTTTTCGACATTCCGACAGAAATGGTTAATTTTCTTAAAAAAATTAATGCATTGGTTCGATTTTTTTGAATGAAAAAGTAGCTAAATGATTCCTAAACAAACTCGCGAAAACAGCATCTCGATATTTTGTTCCTAACTTAAAATTTAGGCCAAAGAAGCCAGCATTTCGAGCATTTACGGCGGCATTAAAATTAGCTTAAAAAAATAAAATTTTGAGGGTATAAAATTTTCTTTGACCTACATTTTAGGTTAGGAAGAAGATATCGAGATGCGGTTTTCGCGAGTTTGTTTAGACATCATTTTTCATGAAAAAAATCAACGCATTTAATTTTTCTGAGAAAATTAACCATTTCTGTCGGAATGTCGAAAAACGCCCTCAAGCGGTGATATGTGAAACTAACAAAACTTCAAATATTATAATATTTGTCGCCGAAGAATAACTTTTCAATTAACCCGAGTTTGTTAAAATCGGCTCAGTCGTTTCGAAGATACAGATTGTTCTTTACGGAAACCTTTCAATACCCCCCACCACTTCATTTTTAGAGATACGATACAGGAAAAATTGTCAAACAAAAAAGGTTCAGATTATCGTCAACTTCAAAGACCGGACATTTTTTTGTTAGGTTAATATAGCGAAATTCACAGAAAAATCACTTTTTTAGATTCCAGATTGCAGTTACGCCCCCTAGCGGCCATTGCAGAAACTTAAAAATATTTTCCAGGTTTCTCTCGTGGTCGTTTTAGTAATAATTTTATTTACCGCAAGCCTCTACGATGGACAGGTTCCCAGATACAGTACCTCGCATTCTTATTTGGCCACCCTGTACGTGGTGTTCCGTCATTATTTTTGGTGTTTAAACAGAAATAACGTCTACGAGACGTTTATATCCTACGACGATGCTGATGCTCCGTCTCTAGACCACGAACACTGCGCCGCCTCGCGCACTTTTACTAAATCACAAACTTAACGGGTATACGTCTAACCATTCCACCAAGTTTCATCGATGAACGGTTTAGGTAGGCATAAAAATGCCGTTAACTTTTACTGTTTGAATTCATTTCATTTTTGGTGTAGATGTCTGCTCACTTTATGGTTATGTTTTTATTGCACGGTCATGGCCCCAAGTTTAATTTATATTTTTGGTCATTCATTTAAATTTGTGGAAATTATCGAATTGTTTGTGAACTAACACTTTTCGCCGTGAAGAGACAATCACAGTGAATGGGAAATGCTGTAACCAAACTAGCGACATCTTAAGCTGTGGTTAATCTCAATTGTTGACTTGAGTATCCCGCACGAGGGACAAGTTACAAGTCTTAGGGGTGAGATCCTACTAACAAAAACTCTGTGGTTTAGAATCTGTGCTATACGAGTTGCGATTATTATCATGAACATTGACAGTTTCTCGCCGCAATCCGCAGTTCTTTGAATCGAAAGGGTAACCACATACAGAGCAACATTACACTGACAATATACTTCCACGTGAATTCATAAATAAATACTTAATAAAACAATATTTAGGCATAATCCCCTGTACAGTATAACAAACATGATTCAGTAACGGTACATATAAAACAAAGGTTATTTCTAATCACACTCCAACCGATCAAATCAAAGTAAAACGTACTGATTCAACAAATACAATTTACCTTACCTTAAACATACGGCGTCTAAATCTACCCTCTAGTCGTCCAACTTCGGAAAAATTGGATCGTTCGGTAATTAGGATCCAATGCTGTGGATATTCGTCCCTTGCTCGCGCTACTAATGTTGTAATTTCGTCTTATATCTCCCATTCATCTGCTACAAAAAAAGATCCCAATATTGACTGAAATTAATAATTTGGGGGACTCAATCGATCAACTTCCGAAATTCCAAATAAATTATTAAGCACATTTTTATCAACACCTGAAACGAATCTTGGACACGAAGAGAAACATGACATAAATATTCTGTGCGAGTCGTACAATGGGTTCGAATAAACACACAATTAATTGACAATGAAACCCATTAAATCGAAATAAAAACAAATTTCCCGTAAGTGCAACGTCCGATCGTCGCTTTTTTAAAAACAGTGGAAGGAAGTAGATCGGGAACAAGAAAACAATTACAAATTAAACGTTTTATTAATTAGTATTATAAACAATAGAATTAAAACTTCATCTTCCTCTTATAGAATGGATTAATCGGACTTTTAATGGCGTTCGGTTTTAGCAGCGGCTTCTCGGGCAACCTATTCGCGTCGTACGGGATGCCGGGCGAGCTTTTCAATTGCGCTACGTGCTCGTGAATCTCCTGCGACTGATTCAGTTTCAGCGCGATTCGCACTTTTTTCTCGTTCTTCGCCGTGAGCGTCTGGCGTTTCGGTTTCGCCGGTCGCGCGACTATCTCGCTCTCGGCGAACTTCGTCGACGATCCCGTTTTTACCGGTAGTGGCGATTCGGACATGGGCGAGTTGAATCTGTGCACCTCCCACAGGCCCGAGTTTCTCACGAACGCGTTCTCGTACGCCCAGAGCGCGTCGTGCTTCGCGCGTTTTCTCGTTTTCAGTAGTTTCCGCTTTTTTATTCTGCCCTCGCTCTTCTTTATAAACCGCTTCAGTTTGTCGGCGAAGATGCCTCCGTTGATCGTGGCGCCCGAGCGTAATTTAACTGGACTAATGACGTCATCGGATGCAATGTCGCCGTTCTGAACCCGTTCGCTGCTGAAAAGTTTCTTCTTCTCCGCGCGAAGTTGACGCTCGAACTGACTTAAACTGTCCAAGGACTTGTTTATACTGAAGAAGTCCTTTTTTTCCGGCAAGGGAACTTCCTTTATACCAAGCGGATAATCTCCTTCCGTCAGTTGTGCAAATCTAAATTATTAATTTAGTAGGTAGGTACTGTCGATCTAGTCGCTAATAGGCTACATAGAATTACTACAGCTAGCTCATAATTGCGGAAATGACATGGCAAACCCAATTCTTTGTCATGGAAATTGGCTCCGAAAAATAATGAAAAAGATTGAAATGATGAATTTGAAATTTCAAACAAAATCTTGAATTTTTGGTTTCTCGAGACTCCCAAAGAAAGTTCTCAATGGCGTTTTCCAAAGCAATTAAGGTCAGATTCTTCTTTTCTTGGAATTGTGGTATCCTGGTGCGGTATCTAGGATTCAAAACCTCACACTCACCTTCATGGACGTCCTCCTCCTCCTCACTGTGAAGGGACGTGGCTTTTTTTCAAAAAAAGTTGAAACGCAAACCTAAGAAAGAGTCGCAACAGAGAAAACTTGCAATTTCAAGAATTTTTGACTAAAAACTCAAAAACTATGAATACCAGAACACCGGATAATTCTGGACACCTAGGAAATGTTATAAAATTCAAACTACAAAGATTAGGCTGTAACTAGCAGCTTTGACACATTACCAATTTTTGATCTTTAAATTCAAACTGCTATTTTAAAAAGACGAAATGTGTGTTATAATTAGCACCCTAGGCATCGTGGAATCCAGGTTTTAAAATAAATAAGCCTGTAACTTTGGAAATAAAAGCAGAATTCTAAAACTTAAAATGCCAACTTAGGCTGCCTACAATCTAACCCGTGAAAGCTTAGAATTTGAAATAATTTTGAAACCTAGGACATTTTATCAGAATCAAAATCGGAGCTGACTGTACCTAGCGGCTTAGGCTGTCTGGAATTTGATTATATTGAAAATTGATTTTTGAAAATTTTTGAAACTTACCTAGGCTCTCATAAATGATTGTAAATTTCAATTTTAAAAATTTTTTGAAATTAAAATTTAAAAAAATTTGAATAAAAGGAAGGGGAACACAGTACCACACCTAGGCTGTCGGGAATTTGAAAATACTAGAAATTTCAATTTTAAATAGTCTAAGCAATTTTTGAAATTAAAAACTCAAAAAATTAAAGTAAATGGAAACGGAAGGCCGTTTTTATTTATTGAAAAATCTGATTTTGAAAATCTCAAAAATGTTGAAATTCAAAATTCAAAAAATTGTAAGCAAAACAAAGCGGAAGACCGTGCCACACCTAGCAGTCAAGACAGTCTGGAATTTGAAAACTTTGGTTTTAACAATCTAACTAAAAATCTAATTAAAAATTCAAAAAATTTTGGCAAAAGGTAGCGGAAAACAGAGCCACGCCTAGCAGCCAAGGCTGTCCAAAATTTGAAAATATTGGATTTTAAACAATCTTGGCAATTTTTGAAATTAAAAATTCAAACAATGTGATTAATAGGAAGTGGGAGGCCGTGTCAGCAGCCTATGCCGTTTGAAACTCAAAAATATAAAATTCGATTTTAAAAAACCTTGGCAATTTTTAAAATTAAAAATTCCAAAAATGCGAGCAAAAGGAAACAAAAGACCGTGGACCACCTAGCAGCTTAAGCTGTCTGGAATAGGAAAATATTGAAAATTTCGGTTTTAAACAATCTAAAACAATTTTTGAAATTAAAAATTCCAAAAATTTAGGCAACAAGTGGTGGAAGACCGTGCCACACCTAACAGCCTAGCCTGTATGACTAAAATATTGGAGATTCCGGTTTTTAAAAAACGTGGCAATTTTTGAAATTACACATTCAAAAAATGTACGCAAAAGGAAGCGGAAGACCGTGCCCCACCTAGCACCCTAGGCTGACTGGAATTTAAAAATATTGGAAATTTCGATTTTAAACATCTTAGCAATTTTTCAATTAAAAATTCAAAAATGTAAGCAAAGGGAAGCGGAAAACCGTGCCATGCCTAGCAGCCTAGGCTGTCTGGAATTCAAAAATATTAAGAATTCAAAAAATGTAAGCAAAAAAAGGTGTAAGACCGTGCCACACCCAGCAGCCTAGGCTATCTGGAATATAAAAATATTAAAAATTTCGGTTTTACTAAGCAATTTTTGAAACTAAAAGTTCAAAAAATATGAGCAAACGGGAGCGGAAGACCGTGCCACGCCTAGCGGCCTAGGTCGTCTGAAACTTAAAAAAATGGATTTTAAAAAATTTAAGCAATTTAAATTAAAAATTCAAAAAATAAGAGAAAAACGAAGCGGAAAACCGTACCACACCTAGCAGCCTAGGCTGTCTGAAATTTTACATAATGGCAATTTCGTTTCTAAAAATTTTTTAAATTAAAATCTCAAAAAATGCGAACAAAAACAAGCAGAAGACCTAGCTACCCAGGCTGCCTGAAATTTTATATATTAAAGACTTTGAGCTAAAAAACTCAATTTTTGAAATTAACATTCAAAAAATAATAGCAAACCGAAGCGGAAGATCGTACCATACCTAGCAGCCTGGGACGTTTGAAATTTTACATAATCGAAGTTTAGCTTTTAAGAATTTGAGAAATTTTGGAAATTAAAACTCAAAAAATGAGAACAAAAGGAAGCGGAAGACTATACCACACCTATTAATCTAGGCTGTCTGGAATATTTTACATATCGAAAATTTCGGTTTTTTTTAAGCCTTTCAGTAATTTCGATATATAGTCACACTTCCTTTTTGTTACTGCATTTTCCCAAATGATGTTATTATGTTTTGTATTTTTTGTAAAAATGGTATTTCCGAACAAATAAAGAAAGAAAAATTTTTGAAATTAAAAATTCAAAAAATGTGAACAAACAATCAAGCCAGACCTAGTAGCCTAGGCTACTGGAATTTTATAAATTAGAAATTGCGATTTTAAAAAAAGCGTAATTGAAAAATGTGAACAAACGGAAGAGGAAGACCCTACCAAACCTGGGAGCCTTGAGCCTAGGCTGAATAGAATTTTATACATCGGAAATTTCGATTTTAAAAAATCTAAACATTTTTGAAAATAAAATTCAAAAATATGAACAAACAGAAGCGGAAGTCCATGCCACTCCTAGTAGCGTAGGGACTTTTATAAATTAGAAATTTCGATTTAAAAAAATTGAAAAAAAATTTGCATTTAAACTCAATTGTGAAGAAAAGAAAGCGAAGACTATACCACCATGCCACTCCTAGTAGCCTAGGCTGTCTAGACTTTTATAAATTAGAAATTTCGATTTTAAAAAATTGAAAAAAAATTATATTTAAACTCAAATGTGACAAAAGAAACCGAAGACTACACCACGCCTAGCTGCCTAGGCTGTCTGGAATTGAATACTTTGGAAATTCCGATTTTGAAAAATCTAAAAAATTTTTGAAATAAAAAATTCAAAAAATGTGAACAAAAGGAAGAGGAAGGCCCATGTTACACCAACCAGCTTAGAAGGAAACCCCGCCCACTTGAAAATAAAGACCAATAAAATAGAGCGACCTGGAATCTTGAATTTTAAATTAAAGAAATGAAAGAGTCGCAACAGAGAAAACTTGAAATATTCAGCAGCCTTAGAAACTAAGAATTTCAATAATTTTTGAGATTAAAAACTCAAAAACTATGAATTCCACAACACCAGATAATTCTGGAACCTAGGAAATGTTATAAGATTCAAGGGCCCTAGGCATCGTGCATTCCAGGCTTTAAAATCAATAAGCCTGTAACTTTAGAAATAAAAGCAGAATTCTAAAACTTAGAATGCCAACTTAGGCTGCCTACAATCTAACCCAGAATTTGAAATAATTTTGCCTAGGATATTTTATCAGAATCAAAATCGGAGCTGACTGTACCTAGTGGCTTAGACTGTCTGGAATTTGATATACTTATTGAAAATTTTTGAAATTTAAAACTCAAACATTATGAACCAAAGAAAGAGAAGGACCATGCCTCCCACCCAGGAGCCTAGGCTCTCTCGAATGATTGTAAATTTCAATTTTAAAAATTTGAGGAATTTTTTTAATTAAAAATTCAAGGAATGTGAGTAAAAGGAAGTGGAACACAGTGCCAAACCTAGCAGCCTAGGCTGTCGGGAATTTGAAAATATCAGAAATTTCAATTTTAAAAATCAAGGCAATTTTTGAAATTAAAAACTCGAAAAATTAAAGTAAAAGTAAAAGGCAATTTTATTTATTAAAAAATCTTATTTTAAAATTCTGAAAAATGTTTGAAATTCAAAAAATGTAAGCAAAAGAAAGTGAAAGACCGTGCCACACCTAGCAGCCAAGGCCACCTTGTACCATCTATCTATTTTACTAGTCAATGCTATATGAAAATCTTGATTCAGCCTAGCCCAGGCGGTCTGGAAGATTCCTGAATGGAAACTACAAATTAAAAAAAAAAGCTTTAAGTATCATTTTTAATACTAAAAACTCAGACATCTTATACCACCTGACAACGTTGAAATTTTATTGTTTATAGTAGACTTTGAAAATATTGGAAAATTCGATTTTAAAAAACCTTGACAATTTTTGAAATTAAAAATTCAAAAAATGTGAGAAAAAGGAAACAAAAGGCCGTCGCACACCTAGCAGCTTAGGCTGTCTGGAATTTGAAAATATTGAAAATTTCAATTTCAAAAAATCTTAACAATTTTTGAAATTAAAAATTCAAAAAATGTGAACAAACCATCAAGCAAGACCTAGTAGCCTAGGCTACCTGGAATTTTATAAATTAGAAATTGTGATTTAAAAAAAAAAGTCTAATTGAAAAATGTGAACAAACGGAAGAGGAATACCCTACCACACCTAGCAGCCTAGGCTGTATAGAATTTTATACATCGGAAATTTCGATTTTAAAAAATTAAACATTTTAGAATAATTCAAAAATGTGAACAAACGGAAGCGGAAGACCATGCCACTCCTAGTAGCCTAGGCTGTCTAAACTTTTATAAATTAGAAATTGCGATTTAAAAAAATTGAAAAAAAATTGTATTTAACCTGAAATGTGAACAAAAGAAAGCCAAGACTATACCACGCCTAGCTGCCTAGGCTGTCTGGAATTTAATACTTTGGAAATTCCGATTTTGAAAAATCTAAAAAAATTTTGAAATAAAAAATGTGAACAAAAGGAAGAGGAAGGCCCATGTTACACCAACCAGCTTAGAAGGAAACCCCGACCACTTGAAAATAAAGACCTATAAAATAGAGCGACCTGGAATCTTGAATTTTAAATTAAAGAAAAAGAAGTTCTAATACATACCTTAAATTAAAAATTTGAATTGTCTCAGATTGTCAGACAGCATTGACTAATATAATAGATATATATCTATTTTACTAGTCAATGCTATATGGATATGTTGATTCAGCCTAGCCTAGGAAGATTTCTGAATGGAAACTTCAAATTAAAAAAATTTTTAATACCAAAAAAACTCGGACATCTTGTACCACCTGACAAAGAAATTTTACTGTTCATAGTAGACCTTCTGACACTTACCAACCTAGGCTAAATCAGCCAATTATCTTTTGACACAAATTTTTGAGTTTGCATTTGGTTTTCTTCTATTTTTATTGTTAATTTTTGAAAAAAAAAACTGCCTAGGCTGTATGAAAGCTGGACCCCATTCAACTTACTTTGGAATATACAGAAAAGTGGAAGTGTGCTATGGTAAGCCACCTAGGCACTGAAAAATCTCAAACTGTAATCCAAAAAAATCTAGAATTTCAAACAACTCATGAGCTATCTGTAGCACCTACTCTCGATACCTACTTCTGACACAATTCCGCAATGGCTTTTCTTCCATTCTTTGTCGACTGCTTTGTCAATTTATGCTGATTTAACAGCTCGCAGATCTCCGAGGGGTCGAATTTTAACTGAGGCAACACAACATCGACATGGCCCGCTCTCGGATCCAGAACCTCGGGCTCCTCGTCGTCATCGTCCTCCTCCTCCTCGTCATCCAAGTCAATTTCCATTCGTTCCATCGCATCCAGACTGCCACCAGGAAAACCTTGCTACACAAACTCATTACACAAACACAACATCGCATTAGCATACTCGTTTCCATTCGCTAAATCTCGCCTCGTACTCAAAACCGGCGTCCGACTGTTGCATTAAATGGTCGAAAATGCACTTGGTGAGATGCCTAATGTGCCCCACATTGTGGAGGGATGCGAGATGCTTCGCGAACGGCTTTAAAAATTCGAGTAGGTTTTCTTGCGTAATTTTTCCATTGGACACCTGAAAACCACCGGCCGTAACACACACACTGTCTCTGGTGGTCACAAACCTTCGCTAGCTCCTCCAAGAAAATCTCGGTAAAATGCATGGTCAAACCGGTAAAGCTCGAGCCGCTAGTCTTCAGAAGAGTGTCCTCGAGCACCCGATTAAACGACTCGATTTCGTTCATGTTCCATTCGGTGCTTTTCAAAAACTGAAAGCAGTGCCGTAACATTCGTCGTACAAGCTGAAATGTGCACGTTAAGACTAAGACGAACGAGAGGGGAATACCATTAGGAATTTGTCTAACCGCCACTGATCAATGCCGAACCACTCGATCGCCATCGTCGTTAATCCGCATTTAAAGAACAGCAATGCGGAATCCGCGTCGACGTGATGAATCAAGTTGGCTATGCTCTCGGCGCACTCCTCCTGCACTAACGGCTTGTCAGACATCCACATCGTCGTGAAGAGGCCCTTCCATATGCGTAGAAGGTCCTCTTGCTCGAACGCTGCAAAATGTGCAAAGTTAGAATCGCCCGGGACGTTGTTCTAGGTAGAGATACATACGCAATTGCATGCTTCGTTGGGGCAGCCACTCTCTTAGGTTTTTCAGTGCGCGATCGCGAATTTTCTGCTCGTTTCCGGCTAATGCCCGTACGAATTTCAGGTCCTGGGAACATAGTAATTTTCGTTTTTCCACATTTTCCGCGGTTTTCTTTGGATTTGCCATGCTCTCGCACGTGTGTCTTTAATTTAAAAACTTTTTTTGTTGTCAAATTAATAACAGAAAATAACAGGGTTGCCAAATGTAATTTTTTTTAGTGCGAAATCGGATAGGTGACAAGGTCCAAGAGATGGCGACACGTGAAAACCTCTTAAGCATATTAAAGGCTCTTGAAAATCACTTTTCAAAGCCTTAAGGGCTTGAAAAGGGATTTTCATTATACATTATCAAAGTTTGACAGCTCTTAAGTGTAATTGAAGACCCGTGCAGTTCGTAATTGATTTTAATATTTGTACATTAAATACCCTTAACGACTCTTAAAAGCTTTTAGAAATTGGTAAAGACCCCCAAAAGATGTCAACTGCATTCAAGTCCAAGGAAGATTCCAAAAAATCGTCTTAATAACCTTTGAGGGATGTCAAAAATCATAGAAACCCAAACAACCGTCCTACGAATAATTTTAAAAGTCGATCCTAATGACAGCTAAAGAGGCGTGGAGACCACTAAAGTCTCATTTTGTATTGACCTATTGGCCTTCAACAGGATCACTTTGTGACTTATGACTCTGTTGGCGAACATCGAGAACTCGATGGTTCAGGGTGTCGGAAACCCCTCACGTTCAACAAAAATCGTCCTCGGAAACGCCGCTGCGCTATTTATCATTAGCTACAGGATGTGAGCTGTAGAATCCATAATTTCAAACAGTTCCAAGATTGGGCTACTAGTTCAAAAGTTACAGCCCTTTGAATTTTCTTTCGAAATTTTTTTTTAGTCTATAACTTTTGATTGAGAAGTCTGATCGAAAAAGTACGAATTGTTTGGATTCTACGCACCAAAATTAATAAGAAAAAGTGTTTTCCCGAGAAATTTTGGTGTAGTCGATTTTTGGTAAAAAAGGAAGGTTATACACTGCCTTTTTTTGAGCCCGAAAAAAAATTGTCTCAGATCGACCCGGAAAAAAAATTTTCTTATAGAATGTGGCCTGTAGAATCCATAATTTCAAACAATTCCAAGATTGGGCTACTAGTTCAAAAGTTACAGCCCTTTTGAATTTTTTTTCGAAATTGGTTTCTAGTCTATAACTTTTGATTGAGAAGTCTGATCGAAAAAGTACGAATTGTTTTGGATTCTACGCATCAAAATTAATAGGAAAAAGTGTTTTCCTGAGAAATTTTGGTGTAGTGGATTTTTGGTAAAAAGGAAGGTTATACACTGCCTTTTTTTGAGCCCCCAAAAAAAATTGTCTCAGATCGACCCGGAAAAACAATTTTCTTATAGAATGTGGCCTGTAGAATCCATAATTTCAAACAGTTCCAAGATTGGGCTACTAGTTCAAATAGAATTGGCCTGTAGAATCCATAATTTCAAACAGTTCCAAGATTGGGCTACTAGTTCAAAAGTTACAGCCCTTTGAATTTTTTTTCGAAATGGTTTCTAGTCTATAACTTTTGATTGATAAGTCGGATCGAAAAAGTACGAATTGATTTGGATTCTACGCACCCAAATTAATAAGAAAAAGTGTTTTCCCGAGAAATTTTGGTGTAGTCGATTTTTGGTAAAAAAGGAAAGTTATACACTGCCTTTTTGAGCCCCGAAAAAAAAATTGTCTCAGATCGACCCGGAAAAAAATTTTTCTTAAAGAATGTGGCCTGTAGAATCCATAATTTCAAACAGTTCCAAGATTGGGCTACTAGTTCAAAAGTTACAGCCCTTTGAATTTTCTTTCGAAATTGGTTTCTAGTNTTCGAAATTGGTTTCTAGTCTATAACTTTTGATTGAGAAGTCTGATCGAAAAAGTACGAATTGTTTTGGATTCTACGCATCAAAATTAATAGGAAAAAGTGTTTTCCTGAGAAATTTTGGTGTAGTGGATTTTTGGTAAAAAGGAAGGTTATACACTGCCTTTTTTTGAGCCCCCAAAAAAAATTGTCTCAGATCGACCCGGAAAAAATTTTCTTATTGAATGTGACCTGTAGAATCCATAATTTCAAACAGTTCCAAGATTGGGCTACTAGTTCAAAAGTACAGCCCTTTGAATTTTCTTTCGAAATTGGTTTCTAGTCTATAACTTTTGATTGAGAAGTCTGATCGAAAAAGTACGAATTGTTTTGGATTCTACGCACCAAAATTAATAAGAAAAAGTGTTTTCCCGAGAAATTTTGGTGCAGTCGATTTTTGGTAAAAAAGGAAGGTTATACACTGCTTTTTTTTTGAGCCCCGAAAAAATAATTATCTCAGATCGATACGGAAAAAAATGTTCTTATAGAATGTGACTAGGGAATGCAATCCCGCAGCAAAATCTCAATCCCGGTATTTGCGGGATTGCTAGATGTTAATCCCGCGGGATCCCGGTATTTGCGGGATCCCGCAAAACTTTAAATAAATTGGCAACTAAGCAATTCTGTGCGGTTAACTTCTGCATTAAAATAAGTCGCTAATTATCACAATATTTAACAAAAAAGTACCTTCGGCCTAACTTAGAACTCAAAAAACCTCACCTGTAAAGCACAAAAAGGTGAACTTCTAAAGTGCCTCAAAAATCATAGTAAATTTTTAACGAAAAAAGTTTAACAATTATATAAAAAATAACTTCTCCGTTATGCGTTTCATTAACAAAGTAAACAGAGTCGTCCACTTGGTCGACAAATTCCTCAGTCCCGCAAATCCCGCGGGATCCCGCTCCATTTATGTGCGGGATTAATCCCGCAAAAATGCTGCGGGATCCCGGTATTTCGGGATCCCGCGATCCCGGTATTGCATTCCTAGCTACATCCCATCGAAATTGAAATGACGGACTGTTTCTTTATTTAACATGAGCTGTCTATGATGGCCTAAAACGAATTACTCCTTCGTCATCCGCAATGACCAAACTCGCTCTACCGCAGCGCAAAAAACGAACGAATTTCTGTTTACTTGCAAAGAGCTCTCTTCGACGGCTCGAAACGAATTCACTTTTTCGCGTACTTACACTGAGCTCTACGACGGCTCAAGGCGCATTCAAATTTCCGCCCTCTAAGATATCAGCCCATGCGTTGGGGATATGCGCGAAAAATACCATCACAAGTGTGAATGTTAATTCTGCGCATACGGCTATTTTCTCTTTACCATATACGCCAAGTTTCTTTGCGAAAATAGTTCTGTGCGTCGCGTACTGAATTCTTATCATGGATGAGCGCTTTGTTAACCATATTATTACAAGCACAAATTATTAAAACCCCAAGAAATACCAACCCCAAAAAAGAAAATTAGTATTGCGCATGAGTCTCTTTACCTTTTCCATTGGTGCAACCTGTCATTACCAAAAACACTTTCTTAAACCATCCTAAATAACGCATAACAGAGCGGTCCAGGGTTTGTTTCGCCCGGGGAAATTCCACATTAACTAGGACAAGAACCCATTTTACTTTAACCAGGACAGGGAACCGTTTCACTTTAGCCAAGACAAGAACCATACGAAGCTAGCACAAGAACCCACTTTACTTCAATTAAAAACAACTCAATTGCAAGCTTAACTTGTTTTCGAATGCGATTGGAGAAACACGTTCCTGTCAGCTAGGGCAAGAACCCATATTACTTTAGCAAAGACAAGAACCAGGCGAAGTTAGGGCAAGAACCCATTTTACGTTAACTAAGACAGAATGGAAAGTTTAGGCAAGTCAAAGTAGATTGCTTTGACTATTAATAAAACCCGTAGTCCACTAGTATACCAAACTTAAAAGCGGGGTACTGTAACGGACTACTGTATTTTATTGTAATTCTCTGTCGATACTTATACATTTTTGTTAATTGCAACATTTGCAATGAAAGGTAGAAATAAAACTACTCGAAACTCAGCTCGTCGCTTTTTTCTTCGGTGGTCTTAGCTCCTTGATCCACCTAGAAATGATGTCACGCACATCCTTTTGCACCTTCACAACTTCCTCGGGTATATCATCGCCTTCGCTCAGGTCGACGCAGTGATTTCCTTTAACGACGAACACGGGAGCTTCGGAGGTGAAATTGTGCAGGTCGGACAAATGTTTCCACGGATCGTCCGTGCCGTGGACGCTTACAACCTTAGTCACGGGCGGCTTCTTACCGCCGTACCGGCGTGTCACCCTCTCGACTCCGGTTCGCAGTATCTCCTCCGTTACACTACGTCACTCAATTGTCATCAAACTCCTCGCAAGGCTTTACTTACATTCCGCCGAAGTCGTTGACGCACTCGTCGACCGATTCCTGAACGCTCAAGTCGAAACCGAACGGATTTTTGGCATTATCCCGACTCAGAGTTTGGAAGGTTCCCATTTCGGTGCAGGTCTGATAGCTCCAGGCCAAATCTGTAAATAAACGTCAAACGTACTCCCGAAAAAAAACCACGTACTGTTTCGCTGGCCTTCTCCGCCGTCATCTTCGGATTCTCCGTCGCCGCCGCAGCTCTCCTGGTCTTTCGACTTCAAAACCACCAAGCTCGCCAGCCTGTTAAACGCGTGCGAGTCGTCCTCGTCCATCGCCAGAATGAGACAGCTGACGTCCTCGTAGTTTTGCGGGTCGTTCAGGACGTTCAGAACCGACGCCATCGTCCTCAGAATGTCGCCCGAGCTCATCTCGCGCGGATCGCCGCAATCCCAATCCCTTCAACGATTACAAGTGAACCGCTCGAGCGAGCCCGATACTTACTCCAAGGCCTTTCGCACCTTCTTCCTTCCCTTTTTCGTCTTGAGCATGGCGACCGTTTTGTTAAACCCGTCCCGAATTGTCTGGATGCAGCCTTCGTTAACGTTCGCGTAGACATCGTGCGCGATTTCGTAAAATTCTAAAATACCCGATTACAGGGGGGGGGGCGAAAGTGGCGGGGTGGACTAACCTGGGTAGTCCAGACCGACGCCGAGTGGTGCGCTGGACGCGTACGCTATGTCTACGATGTGGGGGAAGCGTAGGCGCATCCAAGTTGCCAGCATTCCTGGGTAGGAGCATCCGTGGATTACCACCAAACTGTTCTCGAGGCCCTTGGTGCTCTGCTTGAATTTGTCGATGAAAAACGCCAAGTCCTCCAAAGCCTGCTCCATTTGCAGATACTTAAACTCTTCAAGGGTAGCGTTTCTAAAACGGAACACCCTGTGTTTCTAATTTTCTTTAAAAAAGGCTTTCGCGAGGACATTTTTCGGAACAGATTGCCTTTACGGCAATCACTTTAAAATTGTTCCAAGTGGCCAAATGCGTTCATTAAACAACAGTGAACGTCGCTACGTAGCTCGATTTTTCAAAAAGCGTTTTTTGTTTCTCAAAATTGAGTATCATTTCCTTGTTACGTAAATGTCGTATCTCAAATTGAATTACTGAGAGTAAATAACAAAAGTTATCGCTGTATTTCATGTAATAATTAATGAAAACCATTAAGATTATTAAATATCTCAACTTGTAAACAACAAACAATTTTGTATCTCTGAAAAGTTGATTGCATAAGCGTACTCATCGCGCAAACAATGATTGAAATTAATTATAGAATCCTAACGAGACAAATACCGAACATTCGAGAACGTCTTTCCTATAAATTAGATCTTGTTTAGTGACGAGCGGGGGGGGGGGGGGATGGAATACCCCAAGCCACTTTATAGGGTAATGGAAAGAATATTGAATCTTTCCTTTTGGCGCTGCACATTTGCGTACAATATAAAGATTATCGTTAATTTGGGGAGGGGGGTATTCTATACCCCCCCAGACCCCCCGGATTATACGTTCTTCTTCAAAAATGGTTTATTATTTTTTGCGCTTCCATCACAAATTTGGAAAAAAAAAAGTATTTTATGGTTGAAACGTGTTCGATGTGAAAGTAATTACCAGGGGGGTCCCCTGGGGGTATGGAATACTATCTATGGAATATTATCGTTTACTGGGGGGTATTCCATACCCCCCAGACCCCCCGGTTATATGTTCTTCATCAAAATGTTTATTATTTTTGCCGCTTACACCACAATTTGGAAAAGAGTATTTAGGACTGAACGTATTCGAGTGTGAAAGTATTACCGGGGAGTTTGGGGGGTATGGAATACTATCTATGGATTATTATCGTTTACTGGGCGGTATTCCATACCCCCCCAGACCCCCCGGTTATATGTTCTTCAAAATGTTTATTATTTTTGCCGCTTACACCACAATTTGGAAAAGAGTATTTAGGACTGAACGTATTCGAGTGTGAAAGTATTACCGGGGAGTTTGGGGGGTATGGAATACTATCTATGGATTATTATCGTTTACTGGGCGGTATTCCATACCCCCCCAGACCCCCCGGTTATATGTTCTTCAAAATGTTTATTATTTTTGCCGCTTACACCACAATTTGGAAAAGAGTATTTAGGACTGAACGTATTCGAGTGTGAAAGTATTACCGGGGAGTTTGGGGGGTATGGAATACTATCTATGGATTATTATCGTTTACTGGGCGGTATTCCATACCCCCCCAGACCCCCCGGTTATATGTTCTTCAAAATGTTTATTATTTTTGCCGCTTACACCACAATTTGGAAAAGAGTATTTAGGACTGAACGTATTCGAGTGTGAAAGTATTACCGGGGAGTTTGGGGGGTATGGAATACTATCTATGGATTATTATCGTTTACTGGGGGGTATTCCAAACCGTTTTTTTTTTTCAAAATGGAAAACATGACCGTTCTTTCAAAAAAGGAATCGACAAAAAAACATTTTCTAGCAGATTTTGACCTAGAGGTGGAACAAAGAGCGTTCACATAGATTAGTCTAAAACAGGAAGGGGGTACTGTAACTGACTTTTTTTATTTTGATTTACTTGAGCAATGTTTTTATCTGTTTGTTAATGATTAATGATCAACGACAAGGGCAAGGTCAAATCTTTAAATTTAAAAACATGATAGACTTACTCCCCGAACGGCAAGCTCTTCCCATAGTACCGATGTTCCGTCTCCACCAGCATTCCGTGATGCTTCTTCGCCAACTTGTACATCTGCCCGCTCAGCAGCGCGCTTCCGTCGATCGTCCACTCGCCGCCGATTTCGATAAAGAGCGGGTTGCCCCTGCGGAAAAAACTCCGCCTCACCTTGTACCTCTAAATAAACATTTCGGAAATAATCCGAGTACCTCTCCATGGCAACACTCACCATTTCCCATGTTCTGTTATCGAAAAGATTTGAATGGTCCAATGGGACCGTCATCCACTTGTCTGGGTAGGCTGCGCTTGCCTCGTGGCCCTAAGGTGATGCAGGACGTGAAAAAAAGAACCGATGAAAATCTCACTTACCAGCTCTAAAAGGAAAAAAAAGTAGATCAGCTTCATTGTGCAAGGTACGTGAAGCGAATGTCATCGATATTTGGTGAACCTCTTATCGTGCTTATTTGCCCGAGCAAAGTTCATCGGTTACATAAAGTAGGTAGTGGTCAAAAGGTTGGTAACTGTTGAAGATGAAGGAGGTTTTTTACGTTTTATGCGCTGTAAGTAAAAATGGGGTGCTGAAAACTTCTCCTGAGGGCTTTAATTTAGATTGCCATTGCTGCGTGTGCCGAAGATGACGCCCAGACGAACTCCACTGCCATCGCTGATCAGTCGATCGATTTCATGAAGTACCTAATGAAACGGTACAAGGTTAAGGAACACTGGATGACCGTGCCGCTTGACCACTTCAATTTGTTCGACAATCGCACTTGGCAGATGGTGAGGGTTGCTCGTTGGTGGTGGAATTTCTCACCGGCTGTCTTTTAGAGGTACCTCGTCAGTGAGCGGCTCTTTAAACCGGGGGGTCCGATCATTATCGAGGTCGGAGGCGAATGGACGATAGACGGAACCAGTCTAATTATGGGCAGCTTAGCCGAACTGGCCAGGGATCACCATGGCATGCTCGTCGAGACCGAGCATCGGTACTATGGGGAAAGTCTGCCGTTCGGGAAGAACTTTACGGTTGAACAGTACAAATATTTGCAAATGGAGCAGGCCTTGGAGGATATCGCCTACTTTATCGAGAAGTTCAAGGCTGCCAACCCCGCTCTGAATAACAGCAAGGTTATCATTCACGGCTGCTCCTACCCGGGGATGTTGGTGACTTGGATGAGAATCAGGTTTCCGCATATTGTCGACATCTCGTACGCGTCTAGCGCTCCACTTGGCGTAGGCTTGGACTACCCAGGTACCATTTTTGGGCTGTTCCAAAGGTTTCTCAAAGGCCATTTTTAGAATTCTTCGAGGTTGTCAATGACGTCTATGCAAATGTCAGCGGAGAATGCATCGAAACAGTCAGGGTGGGCTTTAACGAAACCACGCACCTGCTCAAAACCCATGACGGAAGGACCAAAGTGCGCGAAGCCTTCAAGTAAGTGCCAATCCAGAGGCGTGCCTTACCTTGAAACTTTTAGGGGCTGGACTTGCGGAGACATTGACGAAATGAATTCGATGGAAATTCTCGGAAAGATAATCATGGTCCTGAACGTCATGCACGACCCCTCCCAGTACGAGGAAGTCGCCTGTCTGTCGATGTCGCTCGACGACGACGAGCTGAAGGCGTTCCAGCGCCTGGCCAACTTTATCACGCTGAAATCCAAGCACATCGCCAGCTGCAAGAGCGAGGCAAGCGCCGAGCCGGACATTAACAGCAAATCCTGGGCCTACCAGACGTGCACCGAAATGGGGACGTTCCAAACGCTGAACCGGAAGAACTCGCACCACCCCTTCGAGATGGACATGAGCGTCGAGGAGTCGGTGCAGGAGTGCGTCGGCGAATTCGGCGGAGTGTAAGTTAAGGTGACGGAACGCCGGAGGGGCAATCGGTTTTTTTTAGTGTTACAGAGCACGTCTTGCGAACGGGAATTGAGCGCGTGATTCGAAGATACGGTGGCAAAAAGCCGAAAGTGACGAAGGTAGTTTCGATTCAGGGAACGCACGATCCGTGGAAGCATCTGGCCCACCTGGAGGATTACGGACCGGAAGCTCCCGTCTGGGTTATTGATGGTATGGGAACTCCCTCGAAAGCTTTTGGTTCAATTGTTTTTAGGATCGCACTGCGCCGACGTCACGCCTCGCGACGACGATTCGGAACAGGTTGTCGAGGTTCGTGCCAGGGTGAAGAATTTAATTACCAAATGGCTGAAGGAAATATCTCCGGAAGAAGAAGAAGAAAAAGAAGAAGTGTAGATAGATTAAATCGATGTTTTATTGTACTTGATCTGTCCAATTGTGACTTGACTAATAATTCGTACTTTTTCGATCAGACTTCTTAATCAACAGTTATAGACTAGAAACCAATTTCGAAAAAAAATTCAAAGGGCTGTAACTTTTGAACTAGTAGCCCAATCTTGGAACTGTTTGAAAATATGGATTCTACAGGCCACATTCCATAAGAAAATTTTTTTCCGGGTCGATCTGAGACAATTTTTTTTTCGGGGCTCAAAAAAAGGCAGTGTATAACCTTCCTTTTTTACCAAAAATCGACTACACCAAAATTTCTCGGGAAAACGCTTTTAATTATTAATTTGGGTACGTAGAATCCAAATCAATTCGTACTTTTTCGATCAGACTTCTCAATCAAAAGTTATAGACTAGAAACCAATTTCGAAAAAAAATTCAAAGGGCTGTAACTTTTGAACTAGTAGCCCAATCTTGGAACTGTTTGAAATTATGGATTCTACAGGCCACATTCTATAAGAAAATTTTTTTTCTGGGTCGATCTGAGACAATTTTTTTTTCGGGGCTCAAAAAAAGGCAGTGTATAACCTTCCTTTTTTACCAAAAATCGACTGCACCAAAATTTCTCGGGAAAACACTTTTTCTTATTAATTTTGGTGCGTAGAATCCAAAACAATTCGTACTTTTTCGATCAGACTTCTCAATCAAAAGTTATAGACTAGAAACCAATTTCGAAAAAAAATTCAAAGGGCTGTAACTTTTGAACTAGTAGCCCAATCTTGGAACTGTTTGAAATTATGGATTCTACAGGCCACATTCTATAAGAAAATTTTTTTTCCGGGTCGATCTGAGACAATTTTTTTTCGGGGCTCAAAAAAAGGCAGTGTATAACCTTCCTTTTTTACCAAAAATCGACTACACCAAAATTTCTCGGGAAAACACTTTTTCTTATTAATTTTGGTGCGTAGAATCCAAAACAATTCGTACTTTTTCGATCAGACTTCTCAATCAAAAGTTATAGACTAGAAACCAATTTCGAAAAAAATTTCAAAGGGCTGTAACTTTTGAACTAGTAGCCCAATCTTGGAACTGTTTGAAATTATGGATTCTACAGGCCACATTCTATAAGAAAATTTTTTTCCGGGTCGATCTGAGACAATTTTTTTTTCGGGGCTCAAAAAAAGGCAGTGTATAACCTTCCTTTTTTACCAAAAATCGACTACACCAAAATTTCTCGGGAAAACACTTTTTCTTATTAATTTTGGTGCGTAGAATCCAAAACAATTCGTACTTTTTCGATCAGACTTCTCAATCAAAAGTTATAGACTAGAAACCAATTTCGAAAAAAAATTCAAAGGGCTGTAACTTTTGAACTAGTAGCCCAATCTTGGAACTGTTTGAAATTATGGATTCTACAGGCCACATTCTATAAGAAAATTTTTTTTCCGGGTCGATCTGAGACAATTTTTTTTTCGGGGCTCAAAAAAAGGCAGTGTATAACCTTCCTTTTTTACCAAAAATCGACTGCACCAAAATTTCTCGGGAAAACACTTTTTCTTATTAATTTTGGTGCGTAGAATCCAAAACAATTCGTACTTTTTCGATCAGACTTCTCAATCAAAAGTTATAGACTAGAAACCAATTTCGAAAAAAATTCAAAGGGCTGTAACTTTTGAACTAGTAGCCCAATCTTGGAACTGTTTGAAATTATGGATTCTACAGGCCACATTCTATAAGAAAATTTTTTTTCCGGGTCGATCTGAGACAATTTTTTTTTCGGGGCTCAAAAAAAGGCAGTGTATAACCTTCCTTTTTTACCAAAAATCGACTACACCAAAATTTCTCGGGAAAACACTTTTAATTATTAATTTGGGTACGTAGAATCCAAATCAATTCGTACTTTTTCGATCAGACTTCTCAATCAAAAGTTATAGACTAGAAACCAATTTCGAAAAAAAATTCAAAGGGCTGTAACTTTTGAACTAGTAGCCCAATCTTGGAACTGTTTGAAATTATGGATTCTACAGGCCACATTCTATAAGAAAATTTTTTTTCCGGGTCGATCTGAGACAATTTTTTTTTCGGGGCTCAAAAAAAGGCAGTGTATAACCTTCCTTTTTTACCAAAAATCGACTACACCAAAATTTCTCGGGAAAACACTTTTTCTTATTAATTTTGGTGCGTAGAATCCAAATCAATTCGTACTTTTTCGATCAGACTTCTCAATCAAAAGTTATAGACTAGAAACCAATTTCGAAAAAAATTCAAAGGGCTGTAACTTTTGAACTAGTAGCCCAATCTTGGAACTGTTTGAAATTATGGATTCTACAGGCCACATTCTATAAGAAAATTTTTTTCCGGGTCGATCTGAGACAATTTTTTTTTCGGGGCTCAAAAAAAGGCAGTGTATAACCTTCCTTTTTTACCAAAAATCGACTACACCAAAATTTCTCTGGAAAACACTTTTAATTATTAATTTGGGTACGTAGAATCCAAATCAATTCGTACTTTTTCGATCAGACTTTTCAATCAAAGTTGTAGACACCAGAAACCAATTTCGAAAAAAAATTCAAAGCGCTATACTTTTGAATGTTGTCAACCATTTTGTTTCTGTATATAGTGCATGTAAAAAGAAAAGGAAGAGTGAACAAATTGTAAAGTGACGGAGAGGAGGATGGAGAGAAAGCATGAATGCAGGTAATGAAAGCATAAGCTGATCAAGTCAAGACAAAAGCGAGAGATATGAAAAGATTGAAGAGGTAAATGAGAAAATGAAGGTGAAGATAAACAAAGCGGCGATAAAGAAACTAAAAAAGAAGAAAGTCGACATGAAATATAAGCAAACTGAAGTTGAAAGAAGATACAACAGATGAAGACGACTAAGGATGAACAAAATAAGAGATGAAAAAAAGACAGTAAGATTGAGCAGATAAGACGACGAAAAAGATGAAGAGGTTAAAGGCAAACAAAATTAAGATGGTAAAGACTGAAAAGACGAAGAAGACACGCAACACTAAAAAAAGGGGGGATATGCAAAACACGAATGAGTAGATAAAATAACAGAAGACATATATAAGAAGGTAACGAAAAAACTATAAATGAAAGGAAATAATATGCAAGGCATGAAAAAAATGGTGGAGAGGAAAAAATTAACAAAATGAGCAGGCGCAGAAGATTAAGAAGATGCAAATGAAGAACGAAAATGGTACGAAGATGGGAAAGATGAAAATAAAGAATAAACGAACGAAAAGGTTATAGAAGACGAACATAGAAAACTAAAAATCAAGAAATGAAGCTGGGTAAGATAAAGAGAAAAAAGTTGAAGGATTTGAAAAAATATGAATGGATAAGATGTCAAACATCCGAGTTGACTAAGATGGAGATGGAGAAAGTGAAGGAGGCAAAGAAGTCAAGAAAAGGGGAGGAGCTCGCGACAAGATGCATATCCATTTCCGAATACTCCGGATAGAATTGATTCGGGAAAATTTTAAAATCTCAACAGCAACAACCGGCGTTGTTTTAATTATGTGTTCAACCTTTAACGTCCTTTAATATGTGAATTAATCGACCTAACCTTCCGAGTGGTTTAAAAATCTGTTGACCTACTGATTCTCACCCAGTGTTATCGCGCTTGCTTCGGCAAAGTTCAACATTTCTGTTATAAACAGTGGAAGACGATGAGGGTCATAATTTTCTGCTACTTATATTTGGTAAGTTTGGATACGCATCATCGGCATTTTAGTAAAATGCGTCTAGTTCGCCATACTGGGGAGTGGAGAAGATGATGGCATCTCGGATGACGCCATCAATGAGCTAAAGTCAGAATTAACTCAGGAGGAAATAGATCAATTATTGGGCAATTCGACGTCGAACGTCGAGACGGCATCGATCGGTCTGTTCGCGAGACTATTGCGAATGATGTACGAGATTAAGGAGAAGTGGTTAGATGTTCCGTTGGATCATTTTGATTTGTTCGACAATCGGACTTGGCGAATGGTGAGAGCGCGTGTAAGACGGTATTATCATTTCCTAGTGCGATTTTAGAGGTATCTCACACGGGGCAGCTTTTTCAAGCCGGGAGGACCGCTGTTTGTTGAAGTTGGAGGCGAGTGGACTATCGACGGCTCGTCGTTGGTGATGGGCGGTTTGGCCGAGCTGGCCGAAGAGCATAATGGTTTTCTGGTCGAAACCGAGCATCGGTATTACGGGAAGAGTTTGCCGTTTGGGAAAGATTTTTCCACCGAGAAGCTGAGGTTCTTGCAGATGGAGCAGGCGCTGGAAGACTTGGCCTACTTTATTGAGCACTTCAAGTCGGCAACCCCCGGTTTGGGTAACAGTACGGTGATAATACGCGGGTGCTCCTATCCTGGTATGCTGGTCACGTGGATGAGGGTTCGTTTTCCGCACATCGTCGATATCTCGTACGCGTCCAGTGCACCGCTTGGTGTCGGTTTGGATTACCCAGGTACAATGCTCTCGATTCAATCACAATTTCATGGCAAAATTTAGAGTACTTTGAGGTGGTGAATGACGTGTACGCAAACGTGAGCACTAACTGTATCGAGACAGTCCGAAGAGGCTTTAATCAGACGATGAACCTGCTCAAAACCGACGATGGGAGGCTTAAGGTCCGGGAAGCATTCAAGTTGGTGCGCCCTCCGTTGCTTACTCTGTGATGAAGTGAATTTCTAGGGACTGGACTTGTGGCGATATCGACGAAATGAATTCCATGGCAATTCTGGGTAAAATTATCGTCGTTCTAAACGTAATGCACGATCCTTCTCAGTATGAAGAGGTCGCCTGCTTGACGATGGCAATTGACGAAGATGAGCTGCAATCATTCCAACTTCTAGCCAACTTTATCGTGCTCAAATCTAAACACATTGCCAGTTGTATGAGCGGAGACACAGATCCTGAAGAAAAACGAAACCGTAATTACAGACATTTTAGGGGAATACTTAAAGAGACGTTTCAGATATCGCTTGGAGTTACCAGACCTGTACGGAAATGGGCACGTTTCTGACGTTAAATAGGAAAAACTCCCGTCATCCCTTTGAGATGGATCTAACCGTAGAGGAATCTCTCGAAGAGTGCGGGAAAGATTTCAAGGGACTGTAAGGTGGCCATTACGAGGTTCTCTTATCGGTTGCTAGCGTTACAGAGAACATTCTTCGAGAGGGAATAGCGCGTGTTACCCGCAGATACGGAGGACGCAAACCGAAGGTGACAAGGGTGGTGACGATTCAGGGTACTCACGATCCGTGGAAGCATCTGGCGCATTTGGAGGATTACGGACCGGAAGCGCCGGTCTGGGTTGTTGACGGTACGTTGTAAATTGAACCTCGTCATTTAATTGGTTCATTGTTCAGGTTCGCACTGCTCCGAAATAAATGCACAGTCCGAAGATGATTCGGAGCAAGTTATCGCTGTAAGGGAAAAAGTGAAGCGCTTAATCAGTAAATGGATCAAGGAAATATCGTAGAATGTAGCCCACTAACTGTATATCAGTAAATAAATTCTTCTCTTACAAGTAGTGTGTCGCTTCCATCTTGTAATCTGCAAAAAAACCAAGCAAAACAATGAATTTTAACTATAATCAGTGGAAAATTCTGATACGTATATTTTAAATACTGTACCGCCACCAGCCACCATCAAGTCGATATAAAGTTAGTCACCGGCGAAAAGGAACGAAGTCACATTCGCGTTATCGGATGGATGCCATCGATCCCTCTCGCGTTTTTCTATTTATATCAAATCGAAAAGGGAACCAACGCAATTTTTTAGACTGCCGTCCCTTTTAAGTAATAGTAAAGCAGGCGTCTTTTGTTTATAATGCAATCTTTATCTGTCTCGCCAACACGAAACCGCGACGTCGGTCGGCGCTAAGTACTATGGTAATAATCCACGCGTTTCAGAGACGTACCCATGTTTGTCCATAATTCGACCCGCGATACTACGCGTGCAAAATGGAATGCATGCAATTTAAACTGACCTCCGTTACAAACCCCTAGTAGTGTATAAAATGTGCGGTTAGAGACTTTAAACAAACACTTGGTAAAATATGGTAAAAAAACCACCATGAATATATAAGTAACACCGGTGTCAGCCAACTTTGAAATCTGCGCATGCGCCAGGTTCAAGGTCAATTGCGTAATTATGAGTCATTTCACCTTTATGCTAAGACCCTAGCACCCACCTTTCTTAAAGAAAACCGATCACTTAATTTTATACAAATCAAGAAAAAATTATAGTACCTCATATATGTACAGGAAGTGTCACGGAACGTGCTGTTTTTGAAATTGATAGTAAATGGGCGATTGTGGTGGGAGAATCACGCCGCAGATAGCTATCGTTTCCAACCTTCAGTCTTAGAAATGGAACCGCGGACGCTAGACTAACGCCTGTATGCGTATGATAGCTAGCTTTGTGCGTAATAACGAGTCTAACAGGGCCACTCAGTACAGACGTTTTATTTGGTATCAGCACCAACAGTAATGTTGGGTTAGCCTGTATGTTGAATATCAATTATTTTTGACGTTAACACGTTTTTGACAAATGATGTCATTGATCTCTGATGACCTTTAAAATAGAATCACATCGCAAAAAATGAGATCATTAAATTTTGATCTCTGAAAATAAGACACAAAATTCAAAATGGGTCCTTGACCTTGAAAATGAAAGAACAATACAATTTGAGATCATTACACCTTGATAATGAAATATCCCCACAAAACTAGGGTCATTGACCTCCGATGATCGTCAGAATAAAATACACCGCAAAAAGTCGAGGTCACTGAACTTTGATAACCTTGAAAGTGAAACATTACCACAAAAAATGGGCTATTAACGACATTGAAATGGGGTCATTGACCTCCTATTGTCTTGAAAATTAAATACGACCGTAAAAAAAGGATGCATATAACCTCTTATGACTAGTAGAATGACACCGCAAAGAAATGGGGATCATTGATCTTAATCTTGCAAACGAAACATGGCCAGACCTTGAAAATCAAATGAAACATGGAAAAAATGAGGTCATTGAACTTTGATGACCTTGAAAATAACCATAAGATGACATTACAAGACTTTTTCCGAAAAATCATGAAAAAACCTCAGCACCGTGAAGTGGATGGAAATGGAAGTGTCGCCTACTGTGGGGTATTCCATTAAACACCATTGTACACCAAAAATTCAAATTAATTCGCGTTAATTCAAATTAATTCACGTAATGCAAAATAATTCAAGTTAATTCAAATGAATTCACCTTAATTGAAATTAATTCACGCAAATTCAAGGTAATTCACGTTAAGTCAAATTAATTCATATTAATTCGCGATAATTCAAATTAATTCACGTTAACTGAAATGAATTCACGTTAATTGAAACTAATTCATGTTAATTCAAATTAAGTCACGTTAATTCAAATTAATTCACGTAATGCAAAATAATTCAAGTTAATTCAAATGAATTCACCTTAATTGAAATTAATTCACGCAAATTCAAGGTAATTCACGTTAAGTCAAATTAATTCATATTAATTCGCGATAATTCAAATTAATTCATGTTAACTGAAATGAATTCACGTTAATTGAAACTAATTCATGTTAATTCAAATTAAGTCACGTTAATTCAAATTAATTCACGTTAATTCAAATTAATTCAGAGGAGTGTACACCAAAAATTCAAAGTTGTTAGGGGGAAACAAGTACCATTTTTGGTGTACACCAAAAATTCAATTTCAAATTAATTCACTTTAATTCAAATTAATCCATACTATTAATTCACGTTAATTCAAAATAATTCACGTCAATTCAAATGAATTCACGTTAATTCAAATGAATTACCGTTAATTCAAATGAATTCACGTTAATTGAAACTAATTCACGTTACTTCAAATTAAGTCACGTTAATTCAAATTAATTCACGTTAATTCAAATTAATTCACGTTAATTTAAATTAATTCAAGTTAATTCAAATTAATTCACGTTAATTCAAATTAATTCAGAGGGGTGTACACCAAAAATTCAAAGTCGTTTCCCCTAGCCGGAGGGTTTAGAATACCCCCCTCCCCGCCCAATAACCACCGCAAACGAAACAACTGTAGAAAACATAGAAGTGGGAGAGAGGGGGGGGGGGGGGTTGATATAGTGGTCTAGATTCTACAGGCCAAAATCGGCAAGTTTTGAAACCCAAACTAGCACCAGACCCCTCGCGCAGGTACCTTCCCCCTCGTTCGGACGTCAAATCTCCAAGTTATTTTTAGTAAATTTATTTAAACAAATATATACATTTCACAGTTATATAAGTTAAAAATTAAAACGACTAGTAACTAAAAATTATGAGATCCTCTTATCCGTACTGCACAGAACTATGAACCGGGGGGGGGGGGGGGCTATGGGGAAACAAGTACCATTATTGGTGTACCACCAAAAATTCAAATTAATTCACGTTAATTTAAAATAATTCACGTTAATTCAAATGAATTCACGATAATTCAAATTAATTCACATTAATTCAAAATGATTCACGTTAATTGAAATGAATTCACGTTAATTGAAACTAATTCATGTTAATTCAAATTAAGTCACGTTAATTCAAATTAATTCACGTTAATTCAAATTAATTCAGAGGGGTGTACGCCAAAAATTCAAAGTTGTTAGGGGGAAACAAGTACCATTTTTGGTGTAAAATTCAAATTCAAATTAATTCACCTTAATTCAAATTAATTCACGTTAATTCAAATTAATTCAGAGGGGTGTACACCAAAAATTCAAAGTTGTTAAGGGGAAACAAGTACCATTTTTGGTGTACACCAAAAATTCAAATTCAAATTAATTCACCTTAATTCAAATTAATCCATAGTATTAATTCACGTTAATTCAAAATAATTCACGTTAATTCAAATGAATTCACGTTAATTCAAATGAATTCACGTTAATTGAAATTAATTCACGTTACTTCAAATTAAGTCACGTTAATTCAAATTAATTCACATTAATCCATGTTAATTCAAATTAATTCAGAGGGGCGTACACAAAAAATTCAGTCGTTTCCCCTAGCCGGAGGGTTTCGAATAACCCCCCTCCCCGCCCAATAACCACCGCAAAGGAGACAACTGTAGAAAACATAGAAGTGGGAGGGGGGGGGGGTTGATATAGTGGTCTAGATTCTACAGGCCAAAATCGACAAGTTTTGAAACCCAAACTAGCACTAGACCCCTCGCGCAGGTACCTTCCCCCTCGTTCGGACATCAAATCTCCAAGTTATTTTTAGTAAATTTATTTAAACAAATATATACATTTCACAGTTAAATAAGTTAAAAATTAAAACGACTAGTAACTAAAGCGGGAGTATTATCGGAGATCACAAATAAAAAATTGGAAGTAGATATGATTCGGTTTGGCTATCACAAAATCAGGTCAATACCACTACAAGATCGGCGCGGAAATTTAACTCGCGCTCGTCTGCGCCAATTCCGCGGTAATCTCCAGCTGATCGGCCTCGGCCATCCACTGGGAGATCTCCGCGTAATACATGTGGCGTTGGAGCACCTCGCGCGTGCGCGGCCGTTTGCCGGTATACGACGTGAGCCCCTACGGGATACCGTTACTAAGTAATGGCGGCGAAGAGCGCTTACCCCTGGAACGAAATCGGTTCGGAGATGGTCGAGCAGTGCGGAGTCCTGCAAGGTGCCTTGCAGCGTGTTCCAGTCGACGATCACTTCTTCCATCAGCATCCTTTCCTCTAGAATTTAACTTTTGGTTCGAGTAAGTGGTAGAGCTGGTCTTACCGTCCTTTTTCGACGTCTGCCTCTTGTATTGGATGCGAAAGCGAAACGCCTCAAGAACAGATGCCACCACTATGGTTAAGACTACCATTGTAAATAAATAAAAGGTCATGAAGAAGATGCGCGAGTATTGATGCGCGACGACAGCGAAAGCCTCCATGGTGATAAACCAGTTATTGACCACGGTCAGTTCGAATAAAGTGACGCCGGTTGTAAGTAAATTTGAAAACGAATTTAAATAGTAGTAGCCGAGAGCAGTCGTCCCATTCTCGCTGTACCTGTAAAAGTCCTCAACGGTCGAGTTTCTGAAAGCGCAACATTAATAGTGCACGCAGAGAGGCGGTGTGACGTACACGCAACAGTTGCGTAGATCGTACTGCGAGAAGAGCTCCATGCCGATAATCGCGAAGAAGTAGTACATCACGATCATTACAATTGAGGTTGAGAGCATTAAGGGCGAGAGTAGGACTACCGTCCCAAAGATGTCTCTGTATCGCTTCTTCAGCTTGAACAGGCGAAGCAAACGCAACGGCCTAAAAACGACAACGGCCGTAAACGTAGGCTTGATTAGTAGAACAACAGCGCCAATTATTGCAGCGTACGTCACGCTCACGTCGAAAATATTCCAGCCCGATGACACGTAGTCGGTCCATCCGAGCCCAATTATTTTCAAAATTGCCTCGATTCCGAACACTACAAATTGCGAGTTAGTAATACTTGCAGAAGAAGGTGAGGCATACGTGATA